CTGTGCTCAAGAAGAACGGACACTATTTCATCTTTGGTTCCCATCTGACCGGCTGGAACCCGAATGACAATGTGAGTCTCGGCATCTTCATCCGCCCATACGACTGCGCTGACAATCCTCAAGGTGTACAGCTTTGCAACTTCACTTTCTGGTCCCTGGTCGGAATGGACCGAGTTTGCCCCTGTGGGATCCAAGACGTACCGCAGCCAGGTGAGCTACATCCAGCCTCTTGGCAACGGCGATGCCATTTACATCGGAGACCGTTGGGTTTCATCAAACCTCGCCGCGAGCACCTATATCTGGCTTCCTCTCAAAATTTCCGGCACTGATGTCAAGCTCGACTGGTACGACAGCTGGTCGCCCGACGTCTCCACCGGGACCTGGTCGGTTCGCGCTGGCGAGACAGACCTCGAAGGCGAGGATGCAGAACTGGCCAACGGCGCGAGGGTCGTTTCCTGCTCCGAATGCACCGGTGGTGAGGCCGCGGGGTATATCGGCGGCGACACGGGCGGCAAAGTCACGTTCCAGAACGTGCAGAGCGCCTCTGCCGGCGAGAAGACACTTACGATCAAGTACAAGAACGGCGACGTAGCGCCCCGGCATGCTGAGGTTTCGATCAATGGAGTTTCTCAGGCCATTGCTTTCATCTCGACGAGGCACCACTCGACCGAGACGGGCAGCAGCGCCGTCAACGTCGAACTCAAGGAGGGCGCCAACGTTGTTGTTGTTTCTGCTGGCGAGTGGGGACCCGATGTCGACCAGCTGATTGTGCCGAATTGAGGTGATGGGATGTTTTAGGGGTTGGGTCGGCATCGTAGCACCAACCAGTGCGCGCGCGTGCACATTTTGTCGTAGGCGATGCTATTGAGTCCTGCGTCGAGCTAGGACTGGCTGTCCTCTCAGCTACTCCACAGACCAAAGGAGAAGAAACGAATGAACAAGGATGATGATTTCGCAGCGTCGCAACGGTGTGGACATTCCGACACGTGAAGCGCCTATTTTGACAGATTAGGCGCAGTGAAGAACCCAGCCATGTCTCACAAGCCCCTCATGTCAACGCTGTCAGGAACCAGGCCTAGATGCGCCGCCCCAGTAGCTGATCGAAAGGTGCGCTAAGCCCTGGGAAGACGGCCACCTTGAGGACACTGGGCTCTGTAGCGTGGCTATTCGCGGAGTCGGGACGCCAGGGGCCGACCGCTCTTAGCCCTTCCTGTCCCGACCGCCAGTCCAGGCCGATCCATATTGGGGTTGTCTCTCCAGGGGTTCCTCAGGGTCTGGGGTGCTGTTCCAGGGGTCCACGTTGCGAGGCAGCCTTTCTCCCCGCGGTTGGGTGGTGACAGGGGGGAAAGCAAAACGAGGGCTGAGATGCTATTGAATGCCAAGTGCACGGGAATGGCATCGCGGGCAAGTGGACGCTGCTAGAGCCCAGCTGACGACAAGCGAGAGGCCGACGATTCCGATGCGTCAGGGCAGATTTCGCTGGTGTATCGTGAGATTTACGAGAAGCGAATGTTTTTTTCCCATGGTACAAGCGAATTCGGGGTTTCCGTAAGGAGCGGCTAAAGGGCTGGATGCTGTCACAGAAACGAGGTCAAATGGAGTATAAGATGCTCATGTGTCATGGCCCTCTGGCATGAACAGAAACATCTCCATCAACATAGACTTCTCCGCTGGCATCAAATTCCATTTCTCACTCTCAAGCACATCTTTTTCAAACATGAAGTCCTTCATTGCTGCTTTCGGCCTCGTCGGCTTGGCCGTTGCTGGTCCTTGCAACAACAACTGCGGTCGTCAAGTCATCGGCACGGCGAGGAAGTCGCCCTCTCTTGAGGACCGCCAGGCTTTGTGCAGGGCTTTCCTGACGTCCACCACGACGGTTACCCCAGCGTGAGACTTCCCTGCCCAATACTAGACACCGTTTCGTTGACTAACAACCCCTATTATTAGGACGGCCACTGTCACGGCTGCTGTTGTCTACAACCGTAACGTCCATGGCGCTCGCGCCGAGCCTCCTACTTTAACCGGCGAGAAGCCCGCCTACGCCAGCAGCTGCCCCGACCTCACTTCCTACTGGAATGCTTGCCAGTGCTTTGATGGTTTCGTTCCGACTACCGTCACTGTGACCGCCGCAACCCCGACCGAAACTGTGGCCGGTCCGATCTGCACCCAGGGTCTCGAGTACGCCGTTTACACCCCAGAGTACGACGACCCTCTCATCGAGAGACTGCGCGTTGAAGAGGAGACCATCTACACACCGGTGATCGCCAACCTCATCCAGGGTGTCGTCCCCGACTTCACCGGCGTCTCGCCTAAGATCGGCCCCGTCTACGGCGACTGGCAGCTGCCCCTCGTGGCGCCAGCCTACGGCCCCGACGTCGTGGGCGGTCCCGAGACCCAGCTCTCCCACACCATCATCGATCACCGCGGCTACATCAACCCCGCCGCGACGGGCGACTACACCATCGTGATCCCATACATCGACAATTCCGTCTTTGTCTGGGTCGGCGCCAACGCCATCTCGGGCTTCACCTACGACACCGCTGTCCTCACGCGCCAGGAGGAAGAGCGCGTCTACCGCGCCTACAAGCTCACCGTCACCAACACGTCGGCGCCCGTCCCCTTCCGCCTGCTGTGGATCAACTATGGCGGACCCGGCAGCCTCCAATCGTACATCTATGACCCTGCCGGCAACGAGATCGCGGGCCCCAACGCCGAGAAGAACTCACAGGTCATCTCCAGCTGTTCCGGCGCTGGTGCCGTCATGGGCGCCTGGCCTGCTTGGGAGAGCGAGCAGGTTGCTGCCTGAGGGGTATTGGGATGACTTGCATTGATGACTGAAACGCGCTGGCTTGTTAGCTTTATTAATTGCTAGTAAAATGATATGACTGGACAATGTCAACATTCGTACCGAAGACACCGAATTGTGCCCTTGGTGCTCAATGAAATGGATATGCAGTTGAGAGGTGAATCTGGCTACGTGTTCTAATAGTAAAGAGGGACAGCGGCTTTCAGCGCTGAACAAGAAGATATCAGGCCACAATATGCACGACAAAGATCGAATCAGGGGCACCAGAGCCTTGCCTCACCGAAGGAATGATGGCCCCAGGGATCAGTGAGAGATACATGGGATGACCCAAGGGGCTTGAACGGTGGTGTTGCTCATGTTTGTGCCAGGTCATGCAAACCCATCTATTGATGCCGTCCTGATCTCAAGTGGATCGCGTACTCCTTACTCTGTCCGTTCGCCTTACGCTTGGTTTCCGTGCTGACTTCAGCTTGGGCTCATATTCCGCAAGCTTGTCTGGTGGTTCCAAAATAAAGTCACGAACTACGGGCTTTGGAACCCCTTCGGAGATTCACTCCCCAGGTCACGGGGCAAGGCAACGACTGGTATGAGTCCAGGAGACTGTGCCCCAAAGCTTTCACCAAGTCCAGATTGGAATAGTTGACGTCACAAAGCTTTGTTAGACTCATATCTTAGTCAGGGAACTACATTCAAAGCCTTCGATTACGAACGATGTTGTAACTAGTTCATTCACTAGCTGGTATACTGATGTCATATTGATACATAACCAGCAATGGCTTATGGAGGCTGAAGATGGTATATTCGGGGGCAGTATCTCTCGAGTGTCAATCGAGAGACGGCCTATATCAGCCGTCAGCTCGAACTTACCTATTTAACCTTACGCGGGACGGTGATGGGGGCCGCAGGAGGCGCAAGTTGATCGCATAAGCGGCAGAACGGCTGACGCCTCCTGAACCAGATTAGGTAGTCAACCACGACGTGGGCAGCCACAAACGGAAACAGAAAGGCCGCGACGCAAGACGTAACGCAAGATATCCGAGACGCCACCTTCACCGTCTTTCAGTAGTAGATGAACCGCGATCTCGCTTCTTGTCATTCTTGAGAGCTTCCAAGAACAAATGAGGGTTTTATGTTGACAAAGTAGCATAGCATGGTGGAGGCATCCAGATCGCCGGACTCTGGCTAGGCCTCGGAAGTCTCACTGCGGCCCGTCTGATGCCGGTAGCCCTTGGTTCAAGAATAGCGGTCCAAGATGCTTTACCTACCCGCGCGGATATGGAATGCGCTAGATATCAGCTTGGCGCCCCGCACGATCAATGAGGCGTTACTCCGAACCTCTTTAGTTTCTAACGGGTTGAAACTGTCGTTCCCAGCTGGCCGTTTGTATGCCCTGACCAAACGTGGCGCACCCTCAGTTTTTGTTGAGCATCCAGGTGGTCTTGGCAAACCTTGACATCGACGATCACGTTGCCGGTGGGATACGCCGAGCTTTTGAGTTCAGCGACCAAGCGCCACGATCAAGTACACTGTGAAGGTCATTTACCATCAAACAACGGAAATATGAGACAAAAGCTCTGGGTACCGCGAGCGCACATTATAAAGTCTACAGACCCTACAATTAGACGTAAAGAAGGATTTCCATGCCAATAAAGACACCGTAAGACAAATTAGCAGACGAACTTGCCTATGAGGTTGATTACACTTTCGATAATCAGACGAATGAAGGTTTAATATTCATAGTGTGGTGTTCCTGTGAGAGTCCTACCTCTGGTAGCTGACCGCAGTTATGATCGGACATGGACTGGCTACGGCCCAAAGACATAGTTCAGGGCTGATGATAAGTTTCATCATAAGATCTGATCGAGAGCTTAAAATTTCGGTCCCGTTAGCTTGATACCCAGGCTCGAGACTTGCTGCAGGAGTATTGTCGGAGAAGCTGTTCAGATCTGGCCAAGCTGAATGACTGTATAGGAAGAACATCTGTAGGTGAAATATGACTGTTGATGAGCATTTAATAAGTTCTTGTACGGGCTGCTGAAGGTTGTTGGCGATAGCCATCATCTGTAAAAACGCATGGTCTCTGCCTCTATTTTGAATTCACCACTTGATGTTTGGAATCATATCAATCTCCACATACCATACTGCATCACTATTATCTCATCAAAGCCCTAGTCTTCAATCTTTCAATAACAATATGGCTCCCCTGGGCAAGATCGCAATTCTCGGCATTGCTGCCCTTTTCATCGCCAGCTCTGCTGTGCCCCTTGCCGGAACCACCGCCGATGACGAGGTCATGGATCTTTATGAGCAGTCTGCCGAGGTCTTGGTAAGGAACTAATCAACGTTTCGCAAATTTGGTTACTCTTGGCTCTGACATAGCTAATCTTGCACAGAATGACAACGGCCGGCCTGCACCTGTATTGAAGCCTCGCAGTGCGAGCCCTGGTCGCGGCCGCGAGCAGAGCCGTGACGGAAGCCCCGGCCGTGACCAAATCTGGGGCCGTGATAGAAGTCGCGAGAAGAGCCTCGACGGTGGCCATGGTGGCGGCAATGGCGGTAGTCGAGGAGGTGGCATGGGTGGCCGAGGGGGACACAGCGGTGGTGGCGGACGAGGAGGTGGTAGTAATGGTGGCAATCATAACGGCGGAGGTGGTGGTCACGACAGTCATGCTGGAGGTGGTGGAGATCGAGGCGGGCACGGAGGCAGTGGCCGTGGTGGAGGAAGTAATGGAGGTAGAAGTCGCCAGCCCGGCGGCAACAGAGGAAACGTCAAAAAAAAACCGGCCATGGCAGGGGCCGTGACCGCGACTGGGGCATGAATTGGGGCCACCATGACAACGGCCGTGACCGAAGCCGAGACTACAGCCGCAAGCGGCACCAGAGTAACGGTGGTCACAAGGACAACAATGAAAGTCACAGCCGGGACCACAACTAGAGCAAGGATCGAGGTCAAAGCGAAGGCCGCAGGCGCGGACACAAGAACTACCATCAATGACAGTAGCAGTGCAAATCTGGAGCTAATGAGTTCGGACTGGGAAAGAAGTGTTTGTGGTAAGTTCAGTGTTCAATGTCAGATGTAATTAAAATAACTGCCGTCACGACTCAGGTTCTCGATGCTCAGGGGAGTGTGCTAATTGGTGGGTTGATGATTCTACATGAAAGATGATCGAGAAGGGACCTGAATAGCTTTGAACTGAGTGAAAATACACCGTACCTGTCACTTCTGACATTGGCAATATCGATACTCTTGACGGTGTCTAAGACTAGACTTGCAGCACTACCCTCCAAGTCTGGTTGGAATCCAGTGGATCCTTGAGGACAGCGACAGTGTATTCGTATCACAAACTGGTAGATCGCTTGCAGGTGTGTAACTGCGCCACTTCCTGTGGACGATCATCGCGGAATTGTACTCCTTCGGTGAGACCTAGCCGGTCAGGGGACCCAAGTATGCCAACTTGTGGTGAAATATAAAGCCCTGCGCACTTCTCTCAGACCCGGCAGCACAGCGTTTCTGCTCTTCAGAACACCCTTTCTCAAGAGTCTACGAGAGCCGAGCGGCTCGCGTGCCTCCCACCTGTACCGTTGCTATGATGCATAAACGGGTAACCTTCACATTTGGCTTTTTACTGGCATTGGCGGCTCAAGCTATGTTCTTCACAGGCCCATCCGTAGAGCGAAAGCTCAATCTCTCTTCCACCATCCAGATTGAGTGGTCAACAGGCCCGCTTTCACCACTACCTGCACGTTACCAGCTTTTGGATCTCGGCTTTCTCGCGCTAGATTCTTCAAAATATAGTCTTCTCCACCAACCCCTCGTCTACAATCTCACCTATGGCTTTGGCAATCATTCGTGGAGCTGGGATCCGTCCCAGGAAAACACCAGTTTTCTCAGTGTGATCGAGAATGAAAGTCGGCGCACTGGCGACGATGCCTGGAGGGACTACCGACTTCAGGCCATCATTAAAAAGGAGGGTTCATCCGACAGCTTGGAAATATGGAGCCAAGCATATGAGATCGAGAGGTACCCATTTGAAGAAGCTGGTGCGAGCACTACGTTGCCAACAAAGGCACTGCTTCTGGCTGTCTCATTAGGTGTCATGCTCAGCCTGCTCTTGTCATGAGACGAGGACATTGCGAAGGATTAAGACAATCTAAACCACATCCTTAACGACAAGGAAACGAGAAAGAATTGAAGAAGGAAATCAAACACATATGCATTTATCCGATCCTTGTCTCACAAACTGCGCCGAGCAACAATGACATCATGTCATCCGTGACGCGGCCAAGTCACGGAAGACACGGCTCGTCAGAGGTAGCAGGTAACGTATCACGACAATTTTCGTCGTTGTATCGTCACTGTCTCTATCGGCCGCACAAGAACAGTTTGCTATCATCTCAATGGATCATCTTCGAACTCCCCATAGTAACAACAACAACCCCGAGGATGATCCCCCACCACCATACGAGGAAGTTGCACCACCCAACTCGCCTCGACCAGGTCTCGCAACACAGGGCCTGCCGCGACCTCATTCATCGCATAATCCGGATCTACTAAACCCGAGCCCCAGCCAAAGCTCAGGCCCACAGCTTCCCTCGCGTCGACCCCGGAGCTCCAGCCATCTCTCCCCGTATCCAGGTCAAGCTGCTCAGGCTCAAAGGCCGGCGAGAACACCCCAACCAAATCGTCCCTCCTCATCATACCCTGGCAACACCAATGTCGGACCGCCACCCATACCCCGCCAGTTCCCCCCAGCCTTCAATGTCTATCTCCAAGGGTTCAGCCGTACCATGATTCTCGCGGAAAACCAGACCCAGCCCATCTACGCCCTGCGCGCCTACTCAGGCGTCGCCGGCGACGCCTCTCTCATCCTCCACTCTGGCCCAACAGAACGCCACCCCCCTCTCGCAACCCTCGACTTCGCCCCCTTCTCCCTCGGGATCGTCGTAACTCTGCCACCGTCACCCGTTTCCGTCGTTCCCTCGGCTCTGTCTCTCGACCCCATTACCGGCTTCGCCCACGGTGGCTACTCCTTCACCATCGACGTCGGCACCTCAGTGTCCCGCCCCCCGGGCTCATCGGGACGCTGGCCCCTCGAAGAGTTCCAGTGGCGTCGTAGCCGGGGCGACGCCGTCGCGAGCCTTGGTGGCAGGGGCTACGGCTGGAAGCTCGTCAGGATGGCTGGCGGACCTCCTCCCGGCGCTGACCAGCAGTGGAGGCGCGCTGGCTTCGCGGCGGGGGCCCACCGTGGGAGCGACGGCGCCGAGGTAGTTGCCGTGTGGAGCGAGATGGGATACAGCATGAGCAAGGCGCTGCGGTTTGCCTTTTTGGGGACGGGGTTGACGGGGCTTCTTGGGGAGAGGTGGGCCATCATGGCTGTCATGACGGCCATGGGGCTGTTTGAGCGGGAGAGGCGGTCGAGGCAGAGGCGGCGGTTCTGAGGGTTGGTAATGCTCTGGAGTTGGTGTTGGATCATGCTCTTCAGGCGGACAAGGGATGTGTAATGCTTTCTTGTTCCTTTTCTTGGAAAGATTTTGGTCATATACTCGTATGATCATATACTAGTACAATGGCTGCTTTTCGAAAATTGTATTCCTTGATTGCCACGAACAGTCCAGTCAGTTTTTCCGGGTTCCATCGAGTCTTCTTTTCCAGTCACAGCAATGTCGTGATCCTGCCCCGGAGTCCATGTTCGGGCCTCGATCACAGCTGGCCAGCCTTACCGCGCCTCCTAACGCAATATTGAGTGAACCTTAATGCCTCTCATGGCTTCAGTCCTGTGGCTGAGCTAAATGTTCTTCCCATCCCTTCACCTTGCCTTGCAGCCGATAAAACCGACCTAATACTTGTGTTCATAGGGTCGTCATCTGGCAATGTGTTCAGACACGGATGTTGCCGTAGTTTGTTGAAGTATTTCCATGTGGGACAGGATGGCGATGGACAAAAGTCCCCGATGTACTTTGCTGACATGGTCCTGATTGGCATCATCTGCTATCGGGCGTCCAACCCAGCCGCGTCGCTAACTTTACAGGCAAACCTTTTTTCAGTCGCGCCGTCATTGACACTGAGGTTACTTTGTGTAAGCAGATGGCTTGCAGGCACGGCTTACTGGATAGCAGGGGCTGCGCTAGGTGACACTTTGCGCCGCCCAGTCGGGTCGGCAGAAAGCTGGATCATTTACCAGTTCATCTTGAGAGACGTACCATGGTCACTTTCTCTATGGTATTCCTCAGTCGGTGGGCCTTCTTATATGCACATCGTTGTCGGATTCTTGAGTTCCCGGATCCAAGTAATGAACTCTTGAAACGTTATGTACAACGGCAGGCTTTTTGCGCATCATGCATAGTATTGGCAATTCAGGCTTGAACATATGGCTGCCGGGCCTTGAAAAAGCTACATAGCGGCTGACAGGCAACCAACGAGAATATTCTACAAGCAGGCCCCATAAGATTGATGGACCCAAGTGATGACCCTGCTTCTTCAAAGCGTGACCCAGCTCTGGGAAGCCTAGCCAAACAGCTTGTACTAGGTCCAACATACTAGGCGATTGAAAACCTCCTACTGGGCCCTGCGTCCGTACAAGGAAATTAGGAGATTCTGGATCGCAAGCAACGCCTCTCATCTGTGCGGCACACCTCTCGAGCTCCGCCCAGCCTCAACGAGAACGTGGATTAATGTACAGAAGCTACTGATTAGCGCGTGGCATGTCGATCTCGGAGCAACTCAGATAGACGCCAACCACCTACCAGGTAGCAGTCACAAGGTCGTCTTCATCTTTATTTTCGCCGTGGCTGAGCTGGAGACTGGGAGTAGAAGGACCGAATCAAACCATGAGTTTCTTTCGACCATCGTGAACACTACATGTCCTTAGTTCGGCACTTGAGCAGATATGTCCTGGTGCTATCAGCTGTGGGTTGCTGAAGGAGTACCAAGCACCATGTTATTCGACAGCACGAGATTTTCTCAGCCAGCAACCACGCAGACCTCCCGGCTCATGATCTCGCCAGCTCAAATTTCGTAGACCGGCGCTAGATAAGCGTCCTCGAACAAGAGATAACAAAGGTGGCCGCGGGCAGGTAAACAGAGTTGAGTCCAGTGCTCTAGTCCGACGGTGTAGCGTCAAGATCTGAGGTCTCGCGAAGGCATCCCATGGCTCCAGTGAAGCATGGCAGAATGAAGCCGTCCTTGTACCAGAGAGGAATGACACCAAAGTGACTACCAGCCATCATTATTGCTCAAGCTGTTCTTCAGCATCGCATCCAAGTATAAGAGGTCGTCCTCCAAGCCCATTCACTCGACTCCAGCTCCATCACTTCACTCCATCTTCTCTCCTCCTCACACACTCGCTCAGCACCATTACCCTCGTCACCTCCCTTAGTCTCAGCCTCCATCACCATGAAGTTCTCCGCCGCCCTCCTTCTCACGGCCGTGACGGCCACGCTGGCCGCGCCAGCCCCGGCCGACACGCAAATCGCCCCCGTCGAGGCCCGCGAGGCCGCGCCCGGTGGCGACTGGCACCACCACCGCGACCACTGCAGGAAGGAGTGCCACCACGACGCGCACCACGACCGGTGCCGCAAGCGCTGCGACGACTACGACTACAGCTACAAGAAGAAGGTGACCGTCACCTACACGTACACCTACTGCCAGGTGCACGACTGCGGGCACGACTGGTACGGCCGCTACGGCTACGACTACTACAAGGCCTACGGCTACAAGTGGGGCTACAAGTGGGACAGCTACAAGTGGAAGCGCGACGAGGTCCCCGCCGCCGAGGCCGAGGTCCTCGCCAAGCGCGAGGCCGAGGCCGCCCCCGCGCCGGCCGCGGCCGTCGTCGCCGAGTCGGAGGCCGGCGAGGTCCACGCCCGCGACGGCTGCACCGGCGGCGGCCACGGCTGCGCACGCCCCAAGAAGGTGCACCACCACTACTACGACAACCACCGCCAGGGCCACCACGGTCACGACGGCCACAGGCACCACGACAAGTGCCGCCCCGAGTGCGACGACCGCAAGTACAAGTATCACCACTACGACTACTGCAACTCCTGCGGGTGGTGAGCGCGAAACGTTCATGTCCGTTCGGGAGAGACGATCCGTTCTTGAAAGACGAATCTATTTTTGAGAGATGACATGATTTGCTGTGCCAGCGACAGCAATGTCGGAAGGTGGCTCGTAATGTATGCGGGGTGGGTGATGAGAGGTAGTCTAAAAGCGAAGGGGGGATCACTCGGTAATGAGGGCGCATGGGGTGTGAAGGTTTACTAGATTGGGAACGTTCCTGTTTTCTTTGAGACAGTCCTTACCTTGAATATACTTCGTCGACGAGCAGATTCGCGGGCTTTGGTGAAGGGGGAGTGAGTGACCTCGTACTCATTTGAGGTCGCCTATTCGATATTTCGATTCAGGTGAAAAAAATTGAACGCGAGAGACTTAATGGGCCTGAAGCCTTCCCGATTGCTCGACCTGCTCATTAGTTGAGCCTGTGATAAGCTCTTCGACATTACAGGTACGTCCGTCACATCCGCACACGAAGAGTTCCAAAAAGGACACGCTTGAGGATGCGCATGAATACAGCACCTACAAGCCGCCAATCCCCCTCAAGATGGACGTTTCCCTTCATCCCCACAGTGGTATCACAATTCAAAGATAGACGCGCCATTCGCCCGATAGTATACAGTCCCATTCAAGCAGGTAGCTCAAACACAGGCTCGTCCGACTTTTTCTCCTTCTTCTCCCCCAGCTGGCTCGGCACCGGCGGCACATCCATCTCAGCGGCAAGACTCTTCCCGTCGAGCTCAGTCCGCAGGGCCCACGGCGTTGCTGCCCGTGAATCTATCTCGGACACGGCCGTCGTCGGCGTCTGAGGTGCCTCGGACGGAGGCATCAGGCTGTCAGGGCGATCGCCCTTGGCCGACGCGTTGGCCTGGGCCTCATGTCGTTGACGTCTCCGTCTGGTGAAGAAGAAGAGGGCAAGCAGGGCGAGGAGGACGGCTGATCCAACGCCGACACCGACACCGATACCGATTCTCGCGGGCGTCGAAAGGCCGTTGTCTGTCGGCTCGGGCGTCTCGGTCGCTGCAGGGGAGGTCTCAGCCGGTACATTTGTCGAGCCGCCTTGTGAGGAAGTTGAAGATGATGTCGAGGTGGTCTGCGTCGGGGGCGTGGTAGACGTGGCAGTGTCCGTGTCGGCGAAGGAGGGGAGGAAGCCACGCTGCCAGACGACTTCGCCGCCGACCGCCGTCGGCAGCTCAGCCACATTTACGAGAACCGAGGACGCCGTGAAAGCAACGGTGCGATCCGTCTGCGGGCACCAGCACTGGTCCGCCGCGGTGAGGGCATCCTGGCGTCCGGACTGCTCGCAGGCGACCCACTGCTCGGATGTGCCGTTGCAGTAGGTCAGGCCGACCCAGGGCGTGCCGTCAAAGGCGCCCTTGTCTGGACAGCTGCGGTGGTCGTAGGTCGGATCGCTGCAGCCGGCGAGATAGGTCACGCCGAATTGTTGGTTGTAGCAGGCGTTGCTCGTCAGGCACATGTCGCCCTGCTGGCAGCAAGAGACGCGGCCAAAGGCGTCGTTGCCACAGGGAATCATCGAGTCGATGGCCTCCTGGCCTGGTGCCAAGTAGCAAGTGCCATTGCTGATGAAGGCGTCGCGGGACGCCATGGCGATGTTGGGTGTCGGTCTCAGCGACTGTGTGTCACAAGGCCTCGATGGGCTGGGGGGGGATGTTGATTGTGAGGAGGGAAACAGTGGTGTCAGATGGTCTCAATGGCAAGGTACCATCCAAAACGTGATCGTCGTGTATCGTTGACCTGAGATGTGTGTCGTCGACCTGAGAAGAACAGTGAATGAGGCCTCGGGTGTCTACTGCTTGGCGTTCTGGAAGAGAGATGGGGAAAACCAAAGTGAAAGTGCACTGCCTTCTCGTGTGGCCCGCGCGAGGAGAAAAGGTCGCCCTCTTCAGGAATGGCAATGACGCTCCTCCCGCGCCTTCCCGCCCACGGCACCGCTACCCGCACGGCCCAGGGAGGAGGAGCCCACGAAAATGGTTGGAGCGATCAGGCAAGACAAGACGAAGAAAAATCAAAAGCCAAGGCCGGCCAAGGCAGGCAGCCCGCCGCCGTCCGCCGCAGCAAACCGTCGATAGTGTCTCGGAATTCTGCTCTGGGGATCCTCCTGCTATGGCCCCCTGATCCCGTCTCTTCTCGGCGCGCTCGGTCATGTGGTTGGGTGAGGCTCTCGCCGTCTGTGGGGTTGGTCGACTGCATAGGGCAAACTGGGCGGGGACCCGGCGGCAGCGGGCTTCCGTGTTTGGCAATCTGTGCTCCCCTAGGTGCACCGAGAGGGGATCGCTTCCAGGGGCCTTAGGTCGCTTCCACTGGCTTTAGGGGGGGCAGGACCCCTGTGGCGTGCGCTAGGGAATGAGCGACGGCGCCTGTGATGTCATTTCTCGTGATGCTGGGACCTCGGCATGGTAGGGCCGGAGGGCACGAGTAAGTCACGATCTCGTCTGCCGCGACAGGACAAGGGCATTATTGAGCCCGGCCAAATGATGCTCGATCAGGCCAGAAAGAGTTCGCGCTAGATGCCGGAGGATCGACCCTCATTGTACGGTGGTTTCGCCGCCTGCTCATGACGCCAAGGCCTTGCTTGGACGTACGCACGCAATTCACACCTCGAAGCTGGCAGCGTACCCTTGGCCTAGATGACATGTACCCTTGGCCTAGATGACATGTCGCCCCAGTTCGCGACGCAAGATAACAAAGAGTGAGTAGAAAATTAAAATGGAGGGGTATCTTCTGCCAAGTGACTGCCGCCCTGATAAACACCACGAATGCTATGAGACCCCCAGTTGCCCAAAATGCAGCATGCACCATTTTCCCCCCCATCTTTGACGAGCCCTGCCTCCATGAAAAAGCGCGCCTTGCAAAATAACCTGCTATCCACCCCAGCCGATCCGCCCCAGTGGGAAAATCTCGTATGGAGACTTGGCTGATCGACAGAGCTACAGAGCTCCACCTAGCCATCTCCAAATTCGTTCGCGGTGCTGCTCAAGAAGGCTTGCTGGAGCCAGTTAGTGTCTTTCTCTCGGTGATGACCGAGTCCCAAGGGAACGCCGCCGCGATGTTTCTCCCGAGTTGGCCATCATCCAAGTACTTCTTCATCCCTGACGCCTCGGCCAGCGATTGTGTCGATCCCGACATGGTGACCGTGAACCATGCCCTCGCAGAGGTAGCCCGCTGTCTCCCCCGTAGTGCCGACCGGCGGTTGATCCCGTGCTTCGTGCAGCCGCACCACTCTTCAACCTTCCCAGCCTCCTCCGCTATGCTAGACGCCAGGAATGTCGCTGTCAGAGTCGTCGCTCGACTCGATATCAATAGGCGGGGGAAGAGGCCGCGCAGGCTTGGGGGGCTGGCCGAGCCGCTCCCGCAGTTGAGCAGGCGAAGGATCATTGTGCGCCACGAACCCACCCCGCGCCCGCGACGGTGACGTATGGACCGTCGGGTCCTCCGTTGCCGCCGTCGCAGATGACCCCGCAAGCCCGCCGTTCATGTCCGAAAGAGCGACCCGAGGACCCGGTGGTTGGGCCGGCGCGCCGTTCTGGGCATGGCCCGTCTGCACCACACGCCGCCCTTCCGTGGGCGTCATCGCGTCAGAGTCGACACGAGCGTGCTCGGACGCCGTGGCGGCAGCGGGCCGTCGGCCGCGCAGCTTGATGCCGAACCTCTGACGCACGCCACTCTGCGCCGCGGCGAAACAGGCCTTGAGGCTCTTGAGCTTGGTGACCTGTGCCTCGCCGGTCAAGTCCCGTTTGGCATTCAGCACCTTCACTTCGTAGGCATGCTCTTGCTTTGCCATGCGATCGTAATAGTCGGCGCGTTGCTCGTTCGTAAGCTGACCCAGGGCCCTTTGAAGTTCACCAGACTCCTGTCGAAAGCCGGAATAGGGCGTCCTAGTGGCAGATGATAGTGCGTGCCTTTGGACCGGCGTGTGCTGCTGTGAGCGTGGCGTGTGCTGGCCGTGTTGACGTGCCGGCACAGGCGTGAAGCCAGACGACGGAAGCGGGACCGGGGTATGAGACTGGATAGGGCGCTGGGTGTGGGCCTGCACATCACTGCGGACGAGGGTCAAGTCTGTAGGGGGAGGGGGAGGTTTGCTAGCAGGCGTCAGCGGCCCTGGTATCAGCGTCGGCTTCCAGTGCAAAGGCTTGGCACTGCCGGACGCAGCAGAGGGTAGCTTCGGCAGAGGTATAGGTGTCGTGGAGATGGCGTGCTTGGGCGCGCCGTGGGCATGTTGGTCAGGTTGGCGGTGCTGAGGCTCTTGCTGAGGTTGAGGTTGCTGCTGCGGGTGTTGCTGCTGCGGCTGCTGCTGCTGCTGAGGCTGCGACATCTGATGATGGGCGGCAGGCGGAGGACGCGGGTCGTTGGGTTCAGGACTGTAGCCTCCGCAGACGTTGTTGCCAGCATGATAGCCAACGCCGCCAGCTGTCGAAAAGGTGGCGCCACAGGCAGCGCACCGGCTCACGACTGGCGCTTTTGGCGGCTCTGTACATTTGAGCTTGGCGATGTGCTGTCAGGGAGTTAGGCATCGGGACACCTGGCGAGGCAGGGGGGGAAAGAGACGGCGATGCTTACGTAGAGGTGGGCTGCCTTGTTGGTAAAGTGGCGGCCGCAAGGCGCACACCGATAGATACCGGGAACAGGAGCCGAATGTTGCATCTCCGTCTGCACGTTCGAGATGGCCGGGCGGATCCGTTCTCCGTGCTCCACAGAATCCGTCAACTCAAAGCCTAAACGCTTTGCGGACGCCAGGGCATCGACCAGTTGTCGTGCGCCTATAGTGGCGAGACACTTGTAGAGACAAGCTGCCATGAAAGCGTCGCTGCCGTTGGAGACGAGCGCGGGCATGGCCCGTTCAATCTGCCCTGTACTGAGCTGTTGGGCGACTGCGGTGCCGAGAGCTGGTGCCACAAATGTGGCCAGCTGCTGGCGAAGCGTGTCTTTGCCTACGGCAGGAAGTTGCTCTGCGACCATGCGCATCTGCACGATTTGTTAACATGGACAGTAAAAGAGTAGCCAAGCAGCAGACATACGATGAAGGTCGTGTGGTAATCGGAGCCCACGAGGGTCTTCTGCCAGTAGTCGCGAACGAGTCGTCGCAACACCTCAGCGGGGGCCTTGTCAAAGGCGTGGCCGAGGCTTGCACATTGCTCCTCAAACGACAGAGGTGTCGACGGGCTGCCGAGATGTCGACTGGGACGAGACGCGAGCTTTGTTCCAGAACTAGGTGCGTCGGGTGCAGAGGGGCCATGGGGACCGTTCGACTGTCCATTCAGAGCCTGGCCACCATTCATCTGCGGCGAAGAAGAGGAGGTCGTAGCAGCAGGCTGGCCGTTGGGCATGGAGCCGGCATCTTTTCGCTGCTCTGTCGTGACGGAGGCCAGCTCATGGCTACTGACGCGTGTGCCTTGCTCAGTCCCGGCCATCCCATGGTCGCCGTCCACGTCAACGCCGTTCGACGAGCTTGCGCTCCCCCCTAGCTCGGGTGGCATGTTGAACAGGGACAAAAATCCAGCAAGAGCTTGCCGTGCCGCTGTAGTCGATGGATAATCTCAATGGACGAGAGGCGGTCGTGACCTGGTGTGAGGCGCGTCAGACGAGTGGGTCCACAGGGTCTCAACGCGGTAAGGGGGCCGTGGACGCGCCAAGTGGCACCTAAGTCAGTTGCATTCGACGGCAGCGCGTAGATTGAGTTCCGATGAATGCTTGACAGGTTAGTCTACCCCGCGATGCCATGCGCCAAGGTAACAGAGGGTTCTCGGGAACCTGCAAGCACAAGCAGTATGAGCCAGACGAGTCTGATGGAGTGCGCGTGGCCGTCGATATCCTGAGACGATGTACGAAAGGAAGAATTGTGACGGGAAATACGAAAACGAAAAAGCTATAGAATGACTAATATTTAGGTGTGGGTCCAAATTAGCGTCTTGCTGGGTCGGGTCACATGTACATTGTAGTAGCTTCGTCACCCAAAAGCTCCTCTCCTTGAGGCATCCATGCCGGCGGTGAGGTGTACCTTGACAGAAGGAAGAAAATGCCGATAGCATCGATGCCGATAGCATCGGGATGTCGTGAGCCCAGGTAAGGCACAAAAAAGCGTTGGAGTGAGGGCGATGTAAGCGGACTAGGCAGGTGTGGAGAGAGATGGGATTCGACACGGCCGAGCAGGGACGTGCCCTGAGGACCACTGTTGACCATAATAGGAAGGCGGTCTGTTCTGGCCACATACTATTTATACCTTAGGTACCTAAGGTGCCTTGCCTTCAGGTACCTCCCTTAAGGTACCTCCCTTGAGGTACCTGGGGAGGCACCTGGCCATCAACGTGCAGATGGGCTGGATCCTACAGTTTTTCGACGATGGAATTGATTGTGGAATTGATTGCGATCATCAACAATCGTGCCTACCTACCTTAGGTACCTATGTACTACGACCTGGCCGCCTTCTCATGCCGAGAAGCGCAGTCAGAGGGGCTGCGCAGAGAGGCTGCGCAGAGACGTCGCTTGTGTCTGGTGTCAAGAGGCTTTACGTATTCGTGACAACGGATACAAGGTAAGCCGTAGATTGACTACTGCCGTGCGAAAGACTATGTTCCAAGTGTCGGAACGTCCATTCTTACATGCTTGCTTGTCCTGTCCGTATTGCTTGCATGTGAGGCCATGTTGGATGGCCTGCAGTGAATTGCCAATCTTGTCCTGTTGAATCATGGACGACACTGATCCTGATGCAACCGTGATTTTTTTCCCGATGGTCCTTTTGCGGGACCAAATTCCCGCATCCTGATCGACCAGCTCTATACATTAATCCCTGGGGGTCTCGTGTTCTCTGACATTGTAGCCGGCTTGCTATTCTCGTCTACGCTAGTTATGGTACTATCGCGAGGCCCAGCGAGTGCATCTGTCGGTGTCTTTGAACGCATCTCATCTCTCAAAGCCAGGGTGATCGCAGCATACCGTACAGTGCCCTCTATGAATGCTGTTTCAAATGCAAAAACAACAGAGAGAGTCGTTTTCACGCGCTCGCCCCTCTGTACAGTTTTTCATCGAGCACATGGCATGTAATAGTGCGAAAGTGGAGAATTCCTATTTACCAGAGAGAACGTGTCCATCAAAGTACAAAACTGGTGACAAGCCATGCAGCAAGGTAGAGCCCAGACTACCCCCAAGGATGCCGGAATGATGGCTGAAGCTTGAGCGGTGGCATGACGTGTCCGCTGGCCATTCTTCCGGGACCAGTTCAGCCGGACGCCTTTCTAACTCCCTGCCATCACAATATTGCTAAGCTTGCCAGCGAGCAACATACAATCCTTGAAACGAGAACAAAGCCAGAAAACTCCGATTCCATCGCCACTCCACAATTCAATGACCAGTTCACTCATCTTCCCCAGTCGAAGCAACGACACCGCTGTCCGCCTCCTTCGGGGCACGGTTCTCCTCCATCTGCTCCATCGTCTCGCGCAGGCTTAACGAAGAAACACCAAACTGCGAAGCAGCCACGTGGCGCTGCATCTGCCTCCAAGGTGCCAGGCCCCCAGCATTCTGCAGAAAAGGAGGCTGCTGCAGAGCAGGCCGGGGGTTGCCCATGACGGGAATCTCCACGCCCATGCCGTAGCCCGCAGGCAAGCCCTCGACCGTCTGGTCCGGTGCGAGCAGCCTCCAAAAGGCTGACGCCACGGCCTCGGGGTCCCTGTCGAGGCGCGCCGCGTACCCGCTGAGCAGCCAGGGCAGCGGCATGGACCAGTCGGCGCGGGCCACGATCTCGGGGTAGCGCAGGCCGCGCCACTCGGGGCGGCTGACGGGCGACGGTCCCGGCTCGCCCTAGAAGTCGTTGACGCGTCGGATGCCGAGGTTGACGCGCAGGCGGTTGCGGATCACCTGGTTGCGGAGGTTGATGATGTACTGCCAGCGCGCGATCCAGGCCTGGTGGCGGCGCCATGTGCCCCAGCCGCGCTGCCGCTCGGCCGTCGTCGTTGCGAGGAGCTTGCGTGCCGCTGTCTGGCGGGTGTCCATGGCGTTCTGGAAGCGGAGCACCCAGTCGCGGAAGGCATTGGGGTTGGCGGGCAGGTAGAGTTGGAAGGCGTTGACGAGGCCGTCGAGGCGCAGGAGGGCCTGCAATTCCTGCTCAGGTGTCCACGGGTGGAGAATGGACCGCGGGAGTTCATCCCAGGACGAGAAGATAGCGCAGACGAACTCGTCGCAGCGATTCTCTGAGGGGTTGTCCAGCTGGTCGGGCCAGAAATGGGTGGCAGTGTACGGGAGGAACTCGGGGGGGAGGCCTGCGGGGTCCGTGTAGCACCATGTAGGATGGTCGATAAGAGATATGCCGACGAAGTCTGTCGCCATTTCTGTGGTTCCCGAGGGGACACTTCTGCTTGCTGTGTGGCTTCTCAGCATGAATTGGTCCTATGGCGGGCGTACAGCGACGTTGATAAGTACTAACATGTAATGTATGACTGCGGTCGAGGACCTTCAGGTAAAGTAGACCAATGTGATGTTGGCTAGTGATGGGGACTGAGAGACTGATGTCTCGTACGTAAATGACAAGGACACCGATGATGATCTTTAAAGGGCTGTCTCAAGGGAAGCAGAGATCTCGAGGCAAAGGAAACCCCAGGTTCTTTTTTCGAAGATTGTGTTCAGAGAAGAAGAGAGTGACAGGTGGGCGGAACGGAGGAAGGATGCCCGGAGATCCGGACCTTTTTATGTACAACCCCGGTCCCTGCCACGCCCCGGCCGCCCCAGCCGGAGCGTCGACAGCCTGGCCCGGCTGGCGCCCTTCTACAAAACACTTTCCTTTCTCCGATGGCCGTTGCTGCAATGATCTTGCATTGGTTGTAACGATAATGTATCACGCCAACTCGAAACTAATCCTACGTTTGTGCGAGCCACTCAAAGACGGATTCTGCGATACCAAAGCGCTTATACTGGTCACGTACAGCGTCATGAGTTCGCGACAAAGGGATGGTCATCACAGGTCATGCTTGATGTTATCGTAGGCCCAAAGAAGCCAGGTCTACCTGTCATTGGTGCATGATGTAAAGTGAGTAGTTGTGCGGATGTATTGCTTTCAGGCCTTTCGACTTGATTTCACTATTCTCTCTATCGGACAATCCACATTGACGCCCTTGTCAGAGAAATTCCCGGACACTCTAGATCTCGTCATGGCCACTTCAATAGACCTCGTCTGACTGGGAGGCTCTCCTGTCATAGACGGCTATGTGAAAATGGAGACCGAGCATCAGGGGCATCCTTGGGAACTTGAGACCGGAGACCAGGCCGAGAGGCTCGAATGCTTGATGTACCATCAAGCAGAGGTGCAGGTACGCAAAGTACTGATCTTGATAAAATGGTATCGGGAACATGAGATCTAACGTGAAGGGGAAGATGGCCTCAGAGCACGAAAAAAGAGCGAGATGTAGTATCAGTCTCCGACTGGACCACCACCATACTGAATTGAATAGAAGTGCATTGAAAAAGGTATACATAAGATGCTCCCCGAGGTCATGAAACCAAAGCCCAAACGCCGGCTGCAGTACTGTTCACGCGCCATCGTAGTCATCAAATGTGCTCGCCGACACATGCGAGCATCAACCTCTTGTAATCCCCGCTCGTCTCACCATCAATTCTCTTGGCCAAGCTCTTGCCGTACCTCTTGTGATATGCCCCCTTGACGTTGGCCAATGTGCTTTGGTCCCAGTGAAATCTCACCACGCGCGACACGAGAAGGTGGTCTTTGGTGCCCATCCCCGCCATGGCGTCCTCGAGCAGCATGGCGGCGTGCATGTACTTGTCTGCCGCGTTCCTCACCTGGAACAGCAGTGCGTCCTGCATGTGGCCGGAGAACTCGGATTTGATGACGGCTTCGAGGCTCTTGCGGAACTTCTGTTCGTAGGCGTAGGCGATGGCACGGATCTGGTTATCGTTGCGTGTACTGAGAATGCTGCAGACGACCAGCTCATCGGTGCCCATCTTGCCTTCGGTCGCGCGATAAATGTCCATGACATCCTGGTCGACCTGTTGCGGCACTACGGGAACCGAATCCTCAGCCCGGTTGGCGGCGAGTACAATCTCGAAGTGGCGCTTCGTCTTCATCGAGAGGTCATTCGCGACATCCTTCTCCATGCTGCGGTGAAACGTGCTCCAGTAGCAGTTCTTGATAGCCTTCAGATCGGCGTTGGAGCGGCCGAGGAGGACGTCGTTGAGAACGACTTCCTTGGTGCCAAGCCCATCGACGGCGGAACGAATGTCGAAAGCGTCCGTCAGCAGAGGACCGCGTACAATGGCAATCAGACCCTTTTCGAACCAGCCGCTCGTCTCCGACTTGATGTCAGCCTCGAGGCTGCGATTCTTGAATTGGCGAGAGAAGGACGTCTTGATGGCGTCGATCTGAAGGGGATCCTTGGTGGCGAGGCTGCGAATGAGGGCCTTTTCGTCGGTGCCGAAGCCTTTCATGGCCTGACGTGCCGCAGCAGCGTCATGTGAAGCATCCCACTGGATGATCTGAGGGGCGCCGTAGCCGATGGATGGTGCCGTGGGGGGGCCGCTGTGATGTTGGGGAGGGGGCGCGCCGTATTGTCCTGGAGGGGGCGCGCCGTACTGTTGATGCTGGGGTGGCGGGGCGCCGTACTGTCCGGGGGGCGGGGCGCCGTACTGGCCAGCAGGAGGCCCTGGTGGTGCTCCGTACTGGCCAGGGGGCGGTCCTGGTGGTGCACCATACTGGCCCGGAGGCGGTGCGCCGTACTGACCGGGCGGGGGACCGGGGGGCGCGCCATACTGGCCTGGCGGAGGCTGTTGAGGGTAGCCCTGAGGGGGATACTGCTGACCGTAGCCACCTTGCTGCGGGGGGTACTGTTGGCCGTAGCCTTGATCTGGAAGCTGTCAGGATCCATCCGTGTCAGTGCAGCGACTGGAGAAAAAAACGTACGGCCGCCGTAGCCAGGATACCCAGACATGATCTGATGGGGTGTCGCAATGTCGGATGATTCTCGTCGTGGGAGCTTCGGGGGAGGATTTCAGGCGGGAGCAGCGGAATGCGGGGGGAGACTCGAAGCTCGGGCTGATGCGGTCAGCTCGGATGGAGGGGTCGTCGGGTTTATAGATGTGTGTGGTCGGTCGGAGTGGAGGGGCAAAACGCGACGCGAGCTTACGCCGCACGAAGAGGCAGTGAAAGCAGCTTAGGGTGACGAGGGGTACGAGGACAGAGGCGGAACGCGAGATTGGGAATGTGGTCAAGTGATGGTTAGGCTGAACCAGCAGTGGCTTAGACCGTGCGGCGTGGAGTGCGCCGAGCCGTACTAACAGGTAAGGCAGGAGGTCTTTCGTTGGGTTCGCCTGCCCTGAGCTGTCCACGAAGGTGCCTGCCCAAGCTGCCTGCCCAGGATGGTGCCTGCCCTACAGAGGCGTGTAGCGAAGAGTGGTGTCACTGGCGCACTGGGACAACGTCATCGTCAGTGGCACGAGCTCTCTCTCGACACTGTCTGTCCTGCCAGTCCTCCCAGCCAAGACTCCCCATAAAGTGCACCGCCTCGCGATCAACCCCATCAACAGGCCACACGTCTCAACAGGCCACACGTCTCGACCTGTGCCCTGTGCCACCCACTCGAGCGGGAGGACGGGAGGCGTGACGGACGAAGCTCATCGAAGCTCACCAAGCAAATGCTTTGCATAAGCAGGTGGAGCTTGTCATGCTCGGCAAAAAGTCTGTCGTCATTTGCGAAGCCACATGTGCCCCATACATTCTGCCTGTTCGCGTAGTACAGCCACACCTCAGCCTCTTGGACACGTCTGGTAAGTTCACAGCTTGAAGACGCTGACTCGAAGGCTTCACATGCACATGCAGATTATCTTCAACAGTAAACCAGAATGCCATGCCATGGTTTCACAGCCTTGAGGCGTTTTCTTCTTCTGCATTTTGGACGAACATGTATTCGGTCGCGCCAATGGGAGACCAGTTCCTGGTGGCTGGAAATGCAAGTGGCTGGTAAGACAGGCAAGGCCACCAGGGTCCACCTACGTCGTCCTGGCCAATTGTGTGGCCTGATGGCCCCCCAACCCCTGTCACCCGCCGTGTCGCGCGTCCAGATGCGAGACGTGCAGCGGCTGCAACCCCGCCAAATCTCTCCCAACCACCACATTTATGACCCTATCGTGAACATGCGATTCTCGCCAGCCATCTTCAATTCTGCCAAAGAGTGCCCACCCCGGCATCCATACATTAACATCATGGCAGCCTTTGACTCGGTTCCTGCGACCTTTCCACTTTTTGTCTGGACTCTCGCGCACGACAGCGATTCTGCGACTGACGATCCTCCCACGTCTCTTTTCCATCTGAGATCTTGAGTCTTGAAGCGCGTGCCCCGCCCCCACTTGCAACAGTCTGTCTGCATCACGACCCCGTCAAGATGCGCCTCACAAACGCTCTTCTCCTCAGCTTCTCGGCGCGGGCCATCGCTCAGCCTGTCGTCAACGGCATGCGCGCCAGGGCAGATGACCCCAAGCCCACCTGGGCCGTTGTCAATGTCGACGGCAGCAACGGTGATGGCGACTGCGACGACTGCGATTCGGCCACCGTCACCGTCACCAAGGCGCCGAAGCCTACGACCGTCACCCACCGCGTGACCGATACTGTCGTTCGCGTCTCCTCGGTGCCCGTCATCTCGATCGTGCCTGTCAAAGGCAAGCCTGACAAATCCCCGGTCACTGTGACCGTGTACGGGCCAACGGCGACGACTTTGACAACCTCCTCGACCTCGACGAGCGCGACATCGACCTCCACATCGACGACAACATCAGTAACAACGCCGACAACTGCACCGTCGACTTCGACCTCTGCATCCACGACGACAACATCGAGCTCCTCCACCAGCACGGTGACGTCTACCACCCTTCCTGTCGCTCCTGCTCCTCAACCTGAGCCCACACCTTCTACTACGCCTTCAGTGCCTCTGCCTGACCCTGCATCGACCACCACCATCTCCACCTCCACCTCCACGGCCGCCGCCGTGCCTCCCATCTGGGCGCCCGAGCCCGAGCTGCCTTCTTCGGCACCGGTCTGGTCTCCTGAGCCTGCGCCGACCACATCTCTTCCTGCCGGATGGGAGCCGACGTCCATACCTGCGCCGTCCAACTCTGCACCTGTTATTGGCGCGCCAGGGCCTTCGACCGTGTCTTCCTCGATTGAGGTCTCCTCGGCCCTGCCCTCTGCCAATGCCTCACAGCCCTCTGTGCCTGTGTGGTCAGCACCCAGCGCTGTGCCCTCAGAGTCTGTCAGCTCAGCGGGGCCCACGAGCTGGGCGCCCACGCCGACGACTCTCGTCACTCTCATCTCAAGCATCACGGAGGCTCCCGTGCCGGAGTCGACAACTCACACTCCCGACGATGGGCTCTGGTACAGCGCCAAGTACCCACCGCACCACAATGGGACCGAGGGTCGCTTCTGGAAGTAAGCCGCGGGTAGGCAGCAGCAAATTGTGCAGTGTACGACTAGGCGCGTTTTCTTTTCTATGTTTCTTGCATTTCAGCGCGGCGCATTTGGTTTTTGGATTTCACGTTGTACAAGTCCCACGGATTGCAGAGAGAAGGATGTCACAAATGATGGTTATAGAAGTAGGAAGTGGAAAGGAACGCACCACGAGGAGGGAACATGTCCATGGCACCGACCAAGAGCTGGAGCGGATCATGCCGTGCAAGGGGAGGTCATAATGCATAATAGACAGAACAATACGAACAATGCGAAGAAAACCATCCATCCCCCTCCCCCCCGGACCACCCTGTGACGAGCCCGTAGTGGACAAATTTATCGGGAGCTAGGCTGAAGACGTTTTGTACGACACGTCTCCCCATACCGACCGACCGCAGGCATCGCGCATGCCCTGCTTCTGGCTGGCCGGGCTGGAAGGTGGATGAGCGAGACAATGAATGGCAATTCTCAGGCGGGCGCCACGGGCCACGGCTTTGTGGTGTGGTCCATTCTACTGACAAAGGACCGGCACGAGACACCGGAACTGTAGATTGGTGGCGCAAACAGCAAACTCCAGGTTGACGTCTGCTACTTAGGAGACATGTTATATCAGATGCGAAGGACCCAAATCAAGTCACGACGCGATTGACACGCTCGTCTGCATCTCTACGAACCACACATCATCTCCGCAACACCCCAGCCCCCTGATCTCCGAAAGGTAGTTCCGCGACAGGTCGCCCGTACACATGGCACACGACGAGACCGCGGGTGCGCGTCAGCCAGGCGTGTCTACGAGCGAGCACAGTCTCACAAGCCGGACAGACGCGCCTGCCTTCCTGTCGAATGCCAACGCCACGGCCATCGCCATCGCCCTCCCCATTGCGACTCTTTTCGGTCTCGTCCTCATAGCGGGCCTGATCTGGTTCATTCTGCGCCGCCGAGCCAGACGCCGGGCTCTGGCGAAGGCAAAGGAGGAGCAGGCCAAGGGCTTTGAGCTGCGGGACGTCGCGCAGGTCAGGGTCCGGGCCGGCGGTACGGGGCGGGCGGTTTGGGACGGGGAGGAAGCCGGCGGCAAGGCCGGGGGGAGCGCAGTGTAGGGTCGAGGCACGGAAGACTGGGTGTTCGTGGAGGCACGAGCGCTCGCTGTGCATGGCGAGAGGTGCGGTGCAAAAAGCCCCCGACGAATCCGTTTACAAGAATCGTCACATCAGGGATACCTACTACCTTTCCGTGGGGCACCTTGCGCACAGAAAAGCTGCCCATGCACAATCATGGATGACACGACGCACATCGACGACGACCTTGCACATCGACGACGACCTTGGTATCAGAAAATCGAATTTTCGATGCGAACCCTGACCGCCGCTGGCCCTCGCAAGACAATCATGCCCACGCCAAGCCCTCGATGCCGTGCGGTGAAGCGAGTGACGGGGCCCCGGCCGCCCAATCGGCATTCACCACGTCCGTCCCGCTGGGGCCACAGGCGCTGGGCAGCAACGCGGGATGCGGCGGTTGATGGTGGTGATTCAGACTCGAGGGCGCGGGCGACGGAGTCATTGGGCCGTGATGGAGGGAAATGGGAGGGTATATGAAGAAGGGGACTGCTCGGTAGCCGGTGACGGGGCGACACTCGACTGTCGATCACGAAGAGCAACTTTACATGACGATGCACTTGACAACAACCAACATGAAGACGTCGACACTTTTCAGCCTGCTTCTTGCCCTGCTGGTCGCCGTAGCCTCGTCTTCGCCGAGGTCAGAAAACGCAAACAGTCAGGCATCAACACGGCGAGATCTCACCAGCGACGCCCAGCTCCACACACAGCCGCGTCGATCATCACCAGCACCGCCACCGCCGGCTCTCCCCTTGACGCGCCGTCAACAATCGCCCGGCGCCGCCTGCTCATCGGAAGGACAGTGGAACTGCCTCACGCGCCAGTGGCAGCGCTGTGCCAGCGGACAGTGGAGCGTCGTCATGGACCTGGCCGAGGGCACGGCGTGCGCGCCCGCCGGCTTGTCGGACGAGTTCCACGTCGATCACGAGGGCCGCGGGGGCCGGAGCACCAGCAGCGCGGCGCCGAGCAAGGGAGTGCCGGGGCCGAGCACGGCGGCAGGACGAGGCGTGTCGGTGCTGCACGGGGTCACGGGTGTCTGCGTTGGGTTCGCCGTCTGGGTCGAGGCGAGGGCGTGGATCTGACGGCGGTTCTGGGTTCTGGGACTTTCTTCGGAGAACCTGGTGTTGCTCAAGCACGGGGTTCTGGTTCTGGGCGCTTTGTGGACCGAGGATGATCTTTTGTCTGGAGCATAACGCATGAGGTTACATCGCCCTGGCGCATATGGGATTTTCATCGTCAAAAGTGGTTCATATCATGGAGAGCGTGTGTGTTCTTGCTGGTATGCATGTGACCTGACACTGCACTGATTTCAGCAGGATTCATCTGCAAGTCAGGCCATCTGCAAGCTGGGCCTGCGAGCGAGGCTTGCATAAGATTGTTTCAAAGCCAGCAAAGAGGGTTTGGCGAGAAGTCAAAATGCACAGCCAGACGCGCCTGCGCCATGATGGCTGACTTTCGACTCCAACACTCCCAACGTGACATCGTGGCTTTCCTGCAGGTCATCGCGACCCTGTCTGTGTTCAAGCACATGCCAGATCGTCCCATCGAGGCTGAATGGCGCCCGAGCACTTCGTTGCATGCCCCCCCTTCTGCGATCAAACACTGACATTGTCGGAGATCTTCCCTAGGACAGTATGCAGATCGTAGGGCAGTCCTTCGAGAAGACATGTGACACTTGGAGAGCTTCCTTTCTCAGAAAAGCTCTCGTCGCAAGAAGAAACGTCGTGGCTTTTCCGTCCCTGCAAGGCATCGCAACCCTCGAGGACCCCATGTGCCAGCTGTGAGGACTGATGATCATGACAAATTGTCGGCAGCAAGGGACAGGCAAGGACCGAGCATGGTCGTACGTCAACATGTTCCCTCCCTCTCGTCTCGTTCGCCCAGCCCAGGCCAGGCCCGTATCGACACTGACAGACAGCGCAGGCGACACCCTCAGACCCCTCGTCTGAAGACCCGAGAGGTAAAAAAGCACAAGCGCATCCATCCCCACTAGGCCTCGGTTCGGTTTCGTCTGGTCTCGCCGTCCGGATCGGCGTCGCATCCCGGAGCGGCGGGGCCATCTCCAAGTAACCATGGGAAGAGGCAGCTGTCCATCAGGTCGGGGCGGCCAGCAACTTGTGCTTCTGAATAAGCCAAGCAGGCAAGCTTCCAGGAGTAGGTAGCAGCAGCACCAAGGCAATTCCGGGAAACACAAAGAACGACCTTCCTTGGTCGTGAAATTTCCGAGCCGCAGCCTCCGCGCCCCTGTTCCCCCCCTCACGCAGCAGTTCCCGTTACCAAGTCAGGCAGGAGAGAAACACTGCCGAGATGTGATCTCTCTGAGCCCGGACGGCCTGAGTATGCCGACGGGAAGGTGGCCCCGGTGCAGGGGGGAGGTGAGGTGTTCATTACAAGAAGTTGATGAAGGCAGATTGTGATGCGCTTTGGCTTTCACTGAGCTGGGCCGACGCCTGGTGCAGGGACCAGGAGGTCCTTTGGATGACTGGGGGAGGGGAGCCCAAAGGGGAGCCAGGCCTGGTGACTTCAAGGAATGTCCTCTGTGGTTGGACCCCTGGGGGCGGGGATGAAACGGCGCCGCGGCCCCTGACATTTGCCCCACCGGGCTGTCGCCTCTCAAGCTGCAGGCCGCTTTTCAGGGAAGTATATCGTAGGATAGGTAAGGTAGGGTTAGGGGGAGAATGGTTGGTGATGGGGTCGGTAGTGTTGAAACGGGGAAACATCCGCAGACGGAAGGGCTGAGCCAACGGAGGTCATGGCTTGCGATTTGTGCCAGGCTGATGAGGACGGCCAGGCTGATGAGGACGGCCAGGCTGATGAGAGGAACACATGGCTTGGATGGTTCGACAGCTGGCGCAGGCACAGACGCCAGGCCCCTTTGATCCTGGCCAAGTTGACTGCCCAGACGGGCCAGTCCTCGACTCGAGGCACAAAAGGATGACAGCGTCGTACCGCCGACAGCAGCTAGCGCAGGTACCTTAGGCGAGGCCAGGCGCTGTGCACGTACAGGTGGTGAGCACCGAGCTGCCGCAGTCCAGCCCAGCCCAGTCTAGCTATGTCCCCCCCCGTCAGCCAACCAACCGTCTGATGATACCGTGCCGCCCGTGGCATGACATGACTGATGTCTGTTGACATTCGCGTGTGTGCCGGCTGGCAAGGCACAACAAGTAAGACAGGTAGGTAATAAAGGCAGGTAATTAACCCCAAGTAGTGCATGCGACGACCGGGCGCCAGGGGGACTCGTGATCCTCATATGAATGGGAGCATCTGCCCTTCTCTGTTGACGAATCTCGCGAGAAAAGACTTCTTGTCCTCCTTTCTCCTCGGCTGGGCGGTTCTCTTCCGTTGCGCAGCGTCTGTCTTGCTTCTTTTCGCCGTCACTCTTTCTCTGTCCCGCGCTGCCATTTTGGCATGGTCAGGCTTGTCGTCCTTTCTGCCACTTAGTCTTGCGTCTTTGCTGTGAGCACACCTGTCGCAACTGTCTGCCTCGCCTCCAGCATCCAACGGTACGGTGGATTTATTGTTGTTGCATCTTGGCCTCGAGGCCCCCAAATCCGTCGTCATCCCAACTACTGGCTCCGACAGCCACACAGCTCCTGCGCATCGCCCCCCTCGAAAAGACGAAAATAAACATACACGCCGAACAACACAACACAACACAGCTTTCTCCTCGAACCGTCAGCCGCCGAGGCCAATTGAAACACGACCCCTTCCTCCACACCCACGACGTCAGGGCAAGGCACCCCGTCTTCCTGGCTCGGATCGGGAAGCGAACCGGTTGTTTGAAGACAGGGAACATCGTCGACATCTCATGCAGACAGTGCTTCCAAATACTTTCGGGCAGCCCTCCAGCGTGTGTGGGTGTGAGTGTGTGAAGAATCGGTGCATTGAGATTGAGGCATCTTCTCCTGTTGATGTAGTCCCAGCGTCCGCTGTCTCGCCTTGTCTCTGTCTGCCTCGAGGCGCTGGACGGGTTCCAACAGCATCTCCCGCCTGCACTCGGCTTTCGTTCCACGCAGAAGCAGAAGCAGAAGCGGAAGCAGGCGGAGTACAGGCGCCTGAGCGCTAATTTCCAAGGGACCCTGACCTCAAACACGACCGAGCCCTCCTTCCGCCCCCCCCTCCACCCCTACCCCCCCCCCTCCTCACCCCCCGCCCCTAACAAAACTACGTATCTCCAATGTGGGACCGGCTCAGGCCCAACGCGGCGGGCGCAACCGTTGGAGGAGCAGGCGCAGAAGCCGCAGCAGAAGCAGGAGCAGGAGCAGGAGCACCAGGTGCAGGTGCCCCTCAAAAGATGACGATGGCGCCTGCCCGACAAGGCCGTGACGTCTCGCCCTTTGCCTTCCCCTACGACAACAACGACAACGCATCAACCGGTGTCACCACGACCATCACCGCCAACGCCCACTGGACCGACGACTTTCACGCCACCAGGACCAAGACGAAGAAGACGTTGCCTGCCGACGCGAGCCCGAGCCCCCGAAGATACGAGATTCGGCGTGGTGTTGCGCGTCGCGTTGATTCGGCTGATCCGTGAGTCTCCTCTTGCTGCATTCCTCATTCCTCATTTCCTTTGTGCCGTTCTGCTGGGCTATGCACATGCATGTGCTCGATTCTGTCGTTTATTGCTTCTTCGTCGCTGCAGAGTCTCGCGCTCGCGTGCAAGGGACGAGGTGTGATCGGCACGTCATGGCACGACAATGGTCATCCATCCACATACCATGCGTGCCATGCCATGCCGTGCCACGACCCACGCAAGGGCGAGTGCCCCTCGGAGCAACCTCGAGTGGCAATGATAAGAGACAAACCCACCCGATGTGACACAGGGCTGTACGACAACGTCCTCGTGGCACGCCCGCTTACGACCAGCAACGCCTGCACCTGCTAACAGACTCATGTCAGCGACGACTTACTCGCCCCTCCCGTTCGCCAACCGCCCCCTCGAAATCCTCATCGCAACACCAACCGCGGCGACGTCGACCGCACCACCGCCGCTGCCTGGCGCCCCGCCTCGTCTCTCTACTCGGAGCCGTCCCCGCAGGAGGACCAGTTCGCCATCGTGGCCGCCCCAGGCTCATACGGCTCGCGTGCCGACGACATTTCACCGCCGAGCTCGCCTGAGCTCACAGGTCGTGACGATGCGTACGTTGCCCCCTTCGTTCTGCCCGCTTCACGGTGAACCCCCCTTCATGCTCCCGCCCTGCTCCCCTTCGTCCGGCCGTTCTTTCCAGGCCTTCTGTGTGTACTGACAGCGAGCCCCCAGCCGCCTCAGCGGCGACGATGACAATGTCTCACCCATCGATGAGGCCCCCGTCATGTCCCAGCTAGACATCGCCAAGCAGCATCACCGACGATTTCTCGAGGACCAGCAGCGAAAACAGCAGCAGCAGCAGGAGCTCGAGAAGGGCCAGCGCCAACCACAGCAAGCCTCGCCCTCACCGCACCAGCGGAGCCAGATTCCCATGATGCGCCGCGACCGCCGTAAGCAGCAGGACAACGCTGCGAGCCAACTTCGCGAGACCCGGTCCAAGGAGCTGCTTCACGGTCAGCCCAGTCAAACCACCAGATGGGACGATCAAACCGGAAAGCCCATCCACGACGGCAGCCCGAGCCACCAACCCCACCAGCAGCTGCCGCCTGCGGCCACCCAACGGAACCCCATGAAGGCCTTTGGCGACCGCGTCCGGAAGATGAGGCCCGGCATGGGTGACGGCAACAGCGCCAAGCCCGCCATCTCAGCCCCCATGACGGCGCCCATGTCCATCGACGAACGCCCTGGCTGGCGTGGTGCAAGCGGCCGCCAGACCTTTGTGCAGTCGGTGCAGGACACGCCGCAGGTCGCGCCCATTCACATCCCTCGGAAGAGTAGCAAGAGGGCCGCAACCCAAGTCGCTCGTGCCGGCGGCGTCACCTCTCCTTTATCGCCCATCAGCCCCTCCTCCGAGTCTGAAACGTCAGCCGCTGCCACGACGCCCACGGGCCCCCGCGTGGCGCCCATGAGCCTGGACCGTCCGCTGCCCACGCCGCCGCCGCCGGCCGCACAAGAGACGGCATTGTCGTATCTTACCCCTCCAACTTCCGAAGGTGCTGTACAGCCCCCGATTCATGCGATGCCCACTCTGGGCGACCAAGCAGCCGACGCCAACCAACAACCCGGCTCCCTGCCCTTTACCCCTAATCGCGGGCCTCCCACCAAGGCCATTCGTAGAAAACCACCACCGACGAACCCTCTCGGCCTCAATCCTCACAACGCGCACGCCCCGCACGCCTCATTTTCGTCCAGTGTCTACTCGACTCAACTTCTGCCGGACGCCGCCGAGGACCCGTCACCCCAGCCTGCTGCGACGACATCCGACGATTGGGTGCAGCCCCCTTCGAGATTTAGTGTCACGACGTTTGCGACATCAGTCAACGCAGGCTCCCCTCGCGCCTCTTCCGACGCCGATCTTCCTCCCCTGCCGACTCCCCCGCCGCAAACAGACTCCGTCATGGATCGCCGACGACCTCTGCGAAAGGGCAACGAAAGCCCCGCCATCAACGCCGACGAACCCTTCAAAATCTCCATGTCTTCAGCCTACACCACGAGCCCCGACCCTGCGTCGCCTTCGCTCACGACTGCCCGCCAGAAGCTTCCCAGCCAGGTCGATCGCCCGGCGCCGCGCAGCAGTGTCAATTCCGGTATCTACAACGCGACCAACGGCCGTCCCGAGTCCATTCTGTCCTTGAGCAAAGCGCTGCCGCCGGCGCCACCCGAGCTCTCATCTGTGAACGATCGCGTCGGCCACCTCAATGCGCGCCTCAGCTCCCTGGGCAACCGCCGCATCAACATCAACATGGCCATCAAGCAAATGACGGAGCTCATGCCCACCGACAACCTACTCGCGAGCGAGGCCGTCTTGCGCAAGCGCGAAGCCGAGAAGCGCAAGGTCGAGGCGCTCAAGGTTGAGCTTGCCGACGTGCAACGCGAGGAGTATGAGCTCGGTCTGAAGCTGCACCGCGCGTACAAGCGACTCGACAAGGACGCCGAGTATGAGCCCACGACGCTGTGGGTGAGAAGGGTCACGGGGTGAACGGTGTGCATGTGAAATACTGGCAGCGCAACAGTTGCGTATCCGCCACAGGGATAGGCCTGTGAGAACTCCGTGTGTGGTTTCAGATGGTTGTCTTTAGGAATGGGATGAAGAGCATGGCGTTTCCGGAAGAAGAGGGTGGTGATGGTCTTTTACTGTATTTCTTCTTCACAAAACGGGTCCCCCTTTTTTCATTAGTATGAGCGAACTGGGTTCGCTTTTGTGACGGACGCCGCATGGCGTGTATTGGAAGCAGTCTGGCAATTCACTGCATTTGACATTTTGAGGCGCGCGGCGCGGTGCTGTGACTTGGGATGAATCTGGTGCCATGACTTGGGCAAGGACTGTGCGGTGATGAAACACCAGGGATCAAGACCGGGAGGGAGGTCAAGGTTCTGTGGAATGACTCTTTTCGCCTTTTGTCCATGACCCCTATGAGACCGGACTGTTGCATTGCCTTGTCTACTTTGTCACTTACAAAGCCGTCGGGGAGCATATTGCTTCCACTGATGGAAGCGCTCCGTCGGTTTCAGGGCGGCGTGCGGTGCTTGGTGTCAGTTCGAGAGATTGCAAGAAGACGCGAGACGTGGCTCGGGCAGCCTCAGGGATGCATCAATATGAACGGCGAAGCAATTTGCTCCCCTCCGAGTGGGTGCATTGCGAGTTGGGGATATCCTTGGCCTCGAGCTTCCCCTGAAGACTGGCGCTGCTGGTGAGCAAGTCTCGTGGTCACCCTGACGTTGTGGATGAGGATAGTCAAATCCAAACACTAATTTCCTGTCATTTGGACTCTCTATCTCGAAGGATGCACTTCCAATAGCGAAGGATTTGGTTCCCAGCTTGCACTGTCTAAGAAGTCAAGCTCGACAGGGTACAGACATGCCCACGAAGGAAGACCAGAAGCTTAAATAAATCCCCTGCATCGCCCCTCGGATCGCCACCACTGAGTGACCAGATCCGGGCGCTCTTGGCACTGGGCTGCGTGTGTCCTACAGTCGTGTAATCATGACCAAGTCGTGAGATGCCCGATCAGCCCCGGCCGGGTCGCTGAGAGCGTCGTCATTCGGCCTCCGCATTTGTCTGCCCCGACCTCTCCGCATGGCAAGCAAAGGTCATGGCGTTTCCCTTCTCTGCATGCTGCAGCTTCGCATACCAGTACAGCCAGATCAGCCTGAATGCGAAGTCTCCGCACGCCCCCGGGCGTGGAGGATCAAGTTCCTGACAACTGCTTTGGGCGACGGTGCTTTCTGAGACTCTGTCCCATTGGCCCTACTGTCGACTGCCGAGAGGCAAGAGGGCCCAGCGCCATGGCCTGGATAATTGGCACTGACGGGACGCAAGCAAGGATCGCGACGCTGGCACGACCTGGAACGCTGTCTTCATCTCGGAACAGCGGCCGGATCAACACCAATTCAGAAGCCTGACGGCGAGAAGAGACACGTACGTAATGCGCTCAAACGGCGGGCCGCCATGCGGGGGCGCTCGGGTAAGGAGGTCTAGAGTCAAGCCATGATGGCCTCATCTGGAGCAACGTCCCTTTTGAGGTTCGCGAACGATCCATCCGGGCACCGAGCATGGCCGGCCAGGTAAGAAGAGTACGTGCAAGAGACACCAGGCCGCGCTTCTCATCCAGGGCACGAATACCAGATGATGATGCCATCCGATCTCCCGCACATAGGCTGAAGTCCCCCCCCCCGCGCGGCCAGAAGCAGGGGTCGGCACCAGGCCCAAAGTGGCCGGCAGGGCCGGCATTGGAACCCCTTACTCAGGTGCCCCCAGACCTGGCACGGCGACTAGTCCCCGTTGATGAATACGGCAAAAAATCAGGAGCACCGCCGCCGCAATCTGCTTCTGTGTCGCCCCACGACATGCCACGACCCCATATCCGCGACACCGATCTTGGTCCCCTGGCCCCTCCCCCCCCCTCGTGGGCTCGCCTTGGTATGGCTAAGATGACCCTCGTGGCACCTCATATATAGACCGAGCCCGTGCCGGGCATCGTGTGAAACAGTGGTCCGTTCATCGATGCTCAGTCTTGTTCATCGCATCGTGATATCAGAACCATTGCACCTCCCAAGCGAAAGGTAGCAACCATGTTCGCCAAGGTCTTTGTCGCCGTCCTTCTCGGCTCGAATGTCGTTTCGGCTCAGCTCCACAGCCTCGCCGTCGCCGCCGGCCTCGAGTACTTCGGCACCGCCGTTGACGAGCGCCAGGTGAACGACGCCCAGTACCGGTCCTTCGTTGACAACACGGCCGAGTTCGGACAAGTCGTTCCCGAGAACGGCCAGAAGTGGGACAGCACCGAGCGCTCGCAAGGCGTCTTCACCTACACCTCGGGTGACATTGTAAGCTCTCACCACGTCGGGCCCTAAGGGGCCGCCCTCTCGAGGGAACCGAAGCTGACCCGGGCTTGAAAAGGTCCCCAATGTTGCCAAGGCCAACAAGCAGATCTTGCGATGCCACACTCTCACCTGGCACTCTCAGCTGCCCAACTGGGTTGCCAGCGGTACCTGGACCAGGGCGCAGCTGACGTCCATCATCGAGGTGCACATTGCCAACGTCATGGCGCACTACCTTGGCCAGTGCCGTCACTGGGACGTTGTCAACGAGGCTGCCGATGACAGCGGCAACTGGCGCAACAGCATCTTCTACCAAGTCCTGGGCACCGACTACCTTCCCATCTCCTTCAACGCTGCCCGCAAGGCTGACCCTGCCACCAAGCTGTACGTCTCACATCGTCCACGTTGCTGTTTTGAACATGGATGCTGACCCTGAACAGGTACTACAACGACTACAACCTCGAGTACAACGGTGCCAAGACGACCCGCACTCTCGAGGTCGTCAACATTATCCAGGCCGCCGGTGCTCCCATCGATGGTGTTGGCTTCCAGGGCCACCTGATCGTCGGCTCGACCCCCGGCCGCAGCGCCCTCGCTACCGTCCTCCGCCGCTTCACCGCCCTCAACGTCGACGTCGCCTTCACCGAGCTCGACATCCGCCACTCCTCCCTCCCCGCCTCGGCCGACGCCCTCGTCCGTCAGGGCAACGACTATGCCAACGTCGTCGGCGCCTGCGTCGACGTCGACCGCTGCGTCGGCGTCACCGTCTGGGGCTTCACCGACAAGTACTCCTGGATCCCCCAGACCTTCAGCGGCCAGGGCGACGCCCTCCTCTACGACGCCAGCTACAACAAGAAGCCCGCGTGGACGTCCGTCTCCTCCGTCCTCCGCGCCGCCGCCACCGGCACCGTCGCGCCCCCCGTCGCCACCACCCTCACCACCGCCACGGCCCCCGCGCCCACCACCACGCGTGCGCCGACGACCACGAGCACGACGTCCCGCGCCCCGGCCACCACCACCGCTGCCGGCGGACCCACGGTCCCCCGCTGGGGCCAGTGCGGCGGCAACGGCTGGTCTGGCTCGACTGTCTGTGCCAGCCCTTACACTTGCCAGAAGCAGAACGACTGGTACTCCCAGTGCCTTTGAGGTGTCTGCGTAGACGGAGCGCCGTTAAGGGCTTGCCTGCTGTGGGCTGAGCGTACTTATTTGCTCGACTTTCGACTGTACATAGTTTCACCATTGCACATAGCCAAAATTGCCAGACGCTAAATTCTACATGCGGTCGTCGGTTTATCGCCGTTAAGGTGCTTTCGTGAGTGAGTGGAACACTGCCTGATAACCCCTCAAGTCGTTCAGCATGGTGTTATGTTGCGTTCTACATCGAGGTCATGAATTACAGCTTTGGAACGTAAACTTTCATCGTCTATCATCTTTATATCTGCAAAAAATGAATCTCTCGTTCTGGCACTCACGCCTTTGCTCTTTTTCATTTTTCTTGCTTCATATTTCCACCCGAGCCCGAGAGGCAGCCAGCGCCACTCGATCCTGCAACAAAGAAAATACTGAACGAGTGTGTACGACAGTCCTGAGACTTCTCCGCCTCACCTTTCTTCCTTTGACTTCTGATCCTGCTCGGCGCCGTCCACAGCCTCATCGTAGACAGCCCAAGCCTTGGGGTGACCGGTCGTTGACTTGGCACTATTTGAGCGGGAAAGAGGGGAGAAGATGCGAGTAAACGCCCCTGCCAAGGAGCTAGAGCGTGGACGGCTGACCGTTCGCTCACTCAACGATGCATCAGTGTCTTTGTCAGTGAGGTGGCGGCGGAGGGATTCTACTGCCGAGTTTGCGTCCTGGCTTCCTCCGGTCAGTGGCGGGGTCTCTTCTGTTGACATGTCTAGTCTGTCCTCATCAAGGTCTGTCAGCTCATCGGAGCTGTCTTCTGTGAGTGGAGGAAACGATACGTAAGTATGTTGCGGCGGGGGCTTGTTAGGGCTTCGTTTTTGGACTGGGACTTTCTGAGTTGAAATTGATCGGGATTGGTTGCGGGGAGTGCGTCCCTCCTTTCTACCCTCTGCTTCATGTTGTTCTTTGGGAGGGCTTGGGGATAACATTGCACTTACTTTCGTATGATGTTTGGTGCGATGGGCTAAGATGAAACTGCTTGAGAAATAATATTCAATAACATTACGAATGCAAACCCATACATAGCACTGTTATATTCAGCCGGAAATTGTGAGATCAATACTGTAGAGACGCAACAGTATCATTGACTGAGATGTTGAGGGGACAGATAAGTGTTATCCTTTGTGAACATAGACTACATTTGAGGCCAACCGCAACTCAATCCGCGGGCTTGTATATATGAACAAGAACAAGAAGGTCAGAGAATATGCTGCTTGAAACTTGTGAAATGTTTTAGTTCGTCGCAACGAACAGTTTCACTGTTCTTTATGTTGCTTTCACGCCGTTTCGAACAACCGCGTGAGCCAATCTACGTCACCATGGGGCCGAGACATCCAGGTCTGATGATGTTTCGTACTTGATGTGTATTAATTAGGATATTAAAGGAGAGACATTAATTCTTGTAAGTTTCCAGAACCAATCACACTCTGCTGCGCCCGCCATGTGTCGCTTTACATGACCATTGATCAACGCGCATCCCACGACAGGATCGAGGGATCACTCGACTATTCCTCGGCATCCTGAGCCTCGCTGAGATCCTTCTTGTACTTGCCGTAGCCTCCGTACTTTCCGTAACCCCCCTTGGGAGTGGGGTATTTGCCGTAGGTGCTGTATCCTCCCTTGGGAGTACCGTACTTGCCGTAGCCGCCATAGTGGCCGTAGCCTCCGGGAGCAGGCTCAGCAACGGCCTCGGGCTCGGCGACGGGGGCCGGCGCAGCAATGATGCCGGTAACGGCGAGGAAGATGGCAGCGACGGAGAGTCTCATGTTGGCTTGTGTTCGTTGGTCTGCGAAGCTGGTGTTAGACACAAGGACTGTTGATGGACAAGTACCAAGGCTTACTGTTGCCTGTATAGCTTAGGGTGGTACTGATGTTTTCTTGTGATGTCGAGGTAAAGTGTGAGGTTGAGGCTGAGATCCGGAAAGAAAGTCGAGAAACGGAAGAAGACACACCACCATTTATGTCTTTCGAGAACCTTTGGTTCGGCACCGTCTGCTGCTTCGATTGGCCATACCGCCTTCGATTCGCACACCAGCCAGTCTCGTCACGTCCCCCCCCCTCTTTCAGCCAGCCATATCTAACCGGGTGAAGCCGCGATGAGCCAGGGGCCACTTCTAAGGTGATGATCGTGCCATGCAAGCTCGCGGCGTTTGCTGATCTGGTCAAGGCTGCTGCCCAAATTCTCGTGTTCACCGGTTGGGGCTAGAGGAACCTCAGATCTTCAGCTTGTTCGCCAACCCTTTCTCGCTGTGAACGCCGTCAGCGCCGCCAAAGCCGCAGAGGGGCAGGTGAGACTGTGAAAGCCACCATGCACGCAAAGGCTGGGTAGGGAATATGGTGGTGATGCACGAGGAGCTATCAGTGGTGGACCAATGTTTGTTGTCAAAGCCTCACCCGCGCCGGTGGCTTGGAGACCAGAGCACCCTGGACGGTTTCGGCATCGCTGCTGATACCAAGGGCCGACCTTCATCCCGGACCGATCTAGGCTGAACTTACCTCCCATCTAAAAATGGCTTTGGCCTGTCTATTGTGCTATGAATTGGCTCCCAGCTTGCCGCAAAAAGGCAAGCCGGACTAGACAGGATCAGCAGCATCGCCTCAAGAAGTCCTCGTGTTGAGTCACGAGGGGTGTCACGGGCGAAGATCCCATCATCCGAAGGGTTGATGATGTATGAGAAGAAAAGAGCCAAGCTGTCGGCGGGGTGACCAGGCAAGTGATGATGCCAACCCCAGCACCGCACCACGTGTACTGCGGACGAGCAGCTCTGGAAAGTTTAGAAACGATAGTTTGCCAGGGTTACCACCTCGGATCGTCTGGTTGGACGTACAAGTCTAGAAGATTCAAGGGTGAGCAGTCCTTACGCCGCAGCCCTGCCATGCCCAAAGGCGTTTTGGGAGTCGACGTGCATCGTCTTGACTACTCTGGGCAAGCGAATGGTCCATGCTTCCTGTCCCGGATGCGTGGTCGTCCGGGCAGACAGGTGAGACTAGCGTGCAGAAGTGCTTTGTGCCCATCTGGCTTACTGCGACCCCACGGCAACATATGCCTCGCTTCCTGTTTGACAGGCTTCTGGCGTGCCTCGTATTTCCTCCGCACGCAGTTCGGCCAGCCTATGAGCAACAGCGCCAATGTCTTCCAGCATCGGTAACCGGATGTGCTGGGAGGTGGGCGAACGACGAACTGAACTGGACGAGCGAGAAGGCCTGGTATGCATGCATACCTTATCTCCCCGCGTCCTCTACAGAGACCAGGGAAGTAGAGGTCAGGTGTCATCCACTTGAAGTCGTGATGCCGACAAATGTTGGAGAAACGCGAGCTGTCCCCACAGAGGAGGCTTTTGGGAGCGATCAATGACACCATGGGTACGATCGGTGCAACATGGCGCGCTACCATTAGAAAAAGGGAGGTTTTCTTCCACGCCTATCGTGTTCATCTTCTACTATTTTCAATACGAGCCTTGGTTTAAATCACCACCACTCTACAGGTTTGCCAAGATAAATGGTTGTGATCTCCACACACAGCAGCCCTATCGTGACCTCCGCTATGAATATAGTCTGGAGAAGCGGGCTGTGACAGGGTTTCCCCTCAATCTGCCCCAACCGAGCTCAGAAGGACGACCCCGCGTTCCCTTGGCTTTGCTCACTGCCGTGGTGCTACAGTACACTGGTGTTCCTAGTCATGTCTCGGCATGGTCCCGGGCTTGGTTGTGATGGCCTCAGCCGCACACCCACTCCGATTCTTAGCGTCAGCGCGCTATTGAAACGTGTAGCCACCTTGCCGCCATCTCCGAATAGATGCATCGGTGTGTTGGCGACGCATTCAGCCCACATCTGACGGCATCGCACCTCATCATGGCAACAAGGAGCGGCCTAGCCCACGTTTGCCGTACACGAGATCTCACCCGCATGGAACGCCACTACGCCCGGAGGCTACGCCGGATTTGCAGAAAAATAGGCACTGAAGGTGTGTTGTCGATCCAAAATGGGTGGTCCAGCTTGCTGATAGCTTAGGTACCTTTTCTTTGTTCCCGACATCCCGCCTCACGTCGATCCGCAAAGCCCACGACAGGAGCTCTCCCTCCCCCAAAACTTGAGCCCAAGCTTCACCTGCACTCATTTCTCCTCTTCAGAATCCCGTCTCACCAGTTGAGCCTGCCGTTATCCCAACTTTGATTTTTTTTCCTCTCGATTGTCGTTCAAGACTGCCTCAACATGTTCTCCAAGGAAGAGATCCCATCTAAACCCCTCGCAGACCGCGTCGACGAGTCTGAGGAGGACGCCGAGTCGCTCCAGTCACTTCCCTCTGAAAGGTCATGGACCAAACGAATAACAAAATACATGACTGCGCTTGCCGTGCTCATCTTCACAAGCCTCGTCTCCATGCGTGTCGGAGCCCACCTCGCGACGCGACCGAGTCGCCTTGATGCTTCTTGCGCGGCTCATACAACACAATGGTGTAAGTAAGACACGGCTCCATGGCGGGCTGGGTTGAGTGGATTCCAACGGTTGACCGTTTGATCGACAGCACCTGTGCTTCGCGATATTGACGTCACGTACTCGACGAAGCACTTCAATGGGTCTTTTCTGAAGGAGAACATATATCGTCAGAAGGGATCGCCAGAGGTTGACGCTGCCTGGGAAGCCTTGGGCGTTGACTGTATGTTTACAAGGCTCTTCCTGCTACTAAACCTGCTGACGTTGCAAGATCGCGCCGGTGTCATCTCCATTGAGGATGGCCTCGCCAGCGGACTCGACATGTCCTTTGTCCAGCGCAACCCCAAATACGGCGCTGGCTTCTTTGTCAATGTCGAGGGAATGCATCACCTCCATTGTCTAGTAAGGGGAATCGAAATAAACGAAGCAATGGGCCAAATGACTGACAGAGAATGGTTCAGAACCTGGTGCGAAAGTCACTTTTCTTCAATTACGACTACTACAAGGCTCTTGGTGAGCACGCTTTCGAGAACAACGACAAGATCCTGAGCCATCACGTCAGTAAGTATCGACTTGACACTTCATGATGCTTTTAAGCCCGGCTGACAGAGTTAGCCCACTGCCTTGACATGATCCGTCAGGTCTTGATGTGCAACGTTGACACTGGCGTCCTCGGGCAGGTCTGGGCAAATCAGGACGAGCCGGCCGCTTTCCCAGATTTCAATACACGACATCAATGCAAGAACTACGAAGATGTTCAAGAGTGGGCTAATAAGCTTCAGGTACGTAAGAATCTCCGTCATTGGCCACATCTGTCGTACTGAGTGTGAGATGCTAGGCACCGCCTGCTGAGACCGTCCCCGAGGATTACTTGGAGCCGCCTAGACATGGCGACGTCATCCCCGGTACCCCATGAACCCTGCAAAGGGACCGGAGACGGAAAACTGTACCAGGTACACGAGATTGACTACATATGTAATGGTAATGTATGAAAAGTAATCGGAGGTGCGTCGTTGTTGACCCGAGTGATTGGATCGCACTTGCATCTGACAGGTATGCAGACTAGATAGAAAGCATTAATCAGAGCTCAGACTCATGCCCAATTCCTCTTGTATTTGAAGCTGGCTTGACTTGGGGAGCTTTGGACCCCATAGCCCGAGCTATCAATACCCGGAGTGAGCGCAGCTCTTAGCCCCCTCTTTCCCTTGTGTTGCATTCAGCCTGATGTTGCTGAGACAGAACGCCAAAATACTTTGACGCGTTTGTCGATTGACGAAGCGAATGTGACTGAAGTTCATCAGCAGCGACTCTAGAGAAGAAACGGTGCCTTTGGGGTTTGAATTCTCCAAATCATCTCAAGTGCATCTTTTTGCGCCAATCCGACCAAGTTTACGGCCTCGCGTATCCACCTGCAACGTTCTCGACTTAAAAAGCGCACTCCGAGTCCTGAACATGTTGGACACCGGACCGACAAGCGGCGTGATGTCGGCGATGATGTTGCATTCAACGGAGAACTGTCCTAATTGTGAAGCCAAGGCGCGAGTGGGCAGTTAATCCTCTGCGCTAACCGTCTCCCCGCAGCACTGAACGACGATCTTGGCCATCAAGGTTCATATGGCCGAAGCAGCAGCACGGATATGTTTCTTCAAACAAATCTTGCTGCCCTCCACGTGGTTCGACGATGTCTATCTTCTGGATTGACGTTTCATTCAATTTCAACATTTCCCGCCTAGTAGCCAAGCCAAGCCTGTGCTGCATCTCGCAACGTCCCACGACTGGATAATATCCCCGGAGAAACTGCAAGTTGATGATCTATTGCTCGGACCTGCCTCTTTGGAGAGTCTGGTTCTCTTGGCATTCAGGAACAGGGGCCATTCCCGAGAAGATAAGCAATTCTTCCGAGCGGCACGTGAGGCAACGACTCGTGCTCGCTGACGGTGATCGTGGAGAGCGATTGACTCTTGGGCCATGGCCAGAGCATGCCATGCATCCACGATCATTTGGGGCGAGGCACTTTGCCTCTACGAGCAACTGCTAGCAACCTCCTCCCTGAGGAGGACCTGCAGCATAAACTGTGTCTTGGCAATGTGGAAGATACTTAATGCTTGCGATGAACCGCTGAATTCGATGCGAGCTGCTTCGATGCACCGACCAGCCTTTTGCTCACAAGCTGTTCCAATTACTTCACAAGTCTTGAGATAGCAGACTAGCAGTTCAATCCTTCAAGTTACGATGCGAGGCTCTACCCTGCTTGCTGGGGCTTTCGCTCAGGCCGCACTAGCCGCCATTGAGCCCAAGAACTTTATTTTCATTGTCCCTGATGGCATGGCGCCAGCTTCGCAAACAATTGCTCGCACATATAAGGCCATGGTTGAAGGCAGCTCCCGTCCTGGTGCGCCTGGAATCATTGACGAACTACCGGTAGATATCACGGTGGGCGACTTCGTTTCAATTTGCAATATTCACAATCTGATGCGTTGACAGCCTATCGGTAACACGCGCACCCATTCTAACAACAATCTTGTCACAGACTCGGCCGCTGCCGGGACAGCTCTCGCTACGGGACACAAGACAAACAACGGTGCGATTGGTATTTTGCCTGACAACCAGCCTGTTGGATCCATTCTCGAAGCTGCCAAGCTGAATGGCTACCGGACTGCCCTTGTTGTTACCAGCATCATCAACCATGCAACTCCAGCCGCCTTCTCATCCCATGTGGTCAATCGCAATGGTCTCGCTGCCATTGCTGAACAACAGATCGGCTACAGCCACCCGTTCAATCAGTCCGTCGACATCCTGCTTGGTGGTGGACGTTGCTACTTCAAGCCCAAGTCAGACCCGGATTCCTGTCGTGACGACGAGATTGACCTCTTCGCCTTCGCTCAGGATAAGGGCTACTACGTGGCGCAGAATCGCTCAGCGTTTGACGACCTTGAAAAAGGCCTCGGCGACATCCGCCTCCCATATGTTGGTCTTTTCAACGACGGCGACCTCAACTATGAAATCGATCGCCAGCAGCAGCCTCAAGCGGATCGTGAACCCTCCCTTGCCGAGATGACGACGGCGGCCCTCAATTCGCTTCACCGCGCCTCGCACTGCAAGGATAAGGGTTACTTCATCATGATCGAGGCCTCGCGCATCGACCACGCGTCACACGCTCACGACTCGGTCGCGCATCTCTGGGACGTCCTGGAGTACAACAACGTCGTCGATGTTGTGACCAAGTGGATCGATGAGCACCCCGACACGGCCATGCTATCAGTCGCCGACCACGAAACAGGTGGACTAACCTTCCCGAGCGGCTATGATCCCCGTCCGCTGGCCGCTTCCAAGCACTCCATCGCCTACCTGACGGAGCTGTGGAACGAGTACAAGGGCGACGATCGTCGCAGCTTCCTGAGAAACGAGATCCTCCCAGCGTATGGTGTCAATGATGCCACGGATGCTGAGGTTGAAGCGCTGCTCGCGGGCAACTTTGCGGCGAACCTTGCGAAGCCGATGAACAAGCGCACTGGTCATGCCTGGTCGACGGGTGGTCACTCCGCTGTCGACACAACGCTGTATGCCTATGGCGCGGAAGATATGGGTGATCAGCTCATCATCGATATGGCCGGCGCGCACGACAACACGGAGTTGCCGAAGTATATCGCGAAGGCGTTGAAGGTCAGCCTAGAGGAGGTGACAGAGTTGCTGCGAGCCAATGGCACGGACTGGATCCCTCGGGTCTGAGCTGTGGGATGGCTGTCATGGATGAAGCAGTACAATATGACTCTAAATAGCCGTGGAATCGATAGCATTTGCTGTTTCATGTTTCTTAACATGTCCGATGTTCAGTCCTTGTCGAACTCCAATCCGAAGCTGGCATGTGCGTTGTCATGTACTCTGAGCGAATGTTGTCTAAATGACTGAACTCTCCGCTCTTATATGCATCTACACCAATACCCAAACACGGGGTACGATACATGCACATGAAGGAAAGAGGGTGACAATTCTTAAAATCAATTGCGCACAAGAAATTGTCCTGCAACAGCAACAACCTCGATCCGCTGCCCTTTTTGAATGCCGATTGGGTTTTCCACGACTTCTCGTGGTCAGGACTAGCGCTTCGAAACATGGCTTTCTCAGCCCGAGTGGGATAGTATGTCTGTGCAAGTAATAGTACAAATTCCTATGCGCGTTTCTCGAAGATGTACCTGTCTAAACAACATTATACAAAATAATCAATCTTGGAACTGCGCCTCTCGCCCGTGTTCGCCAGGTTCCAATGCCGGAGGCATAGGCCAGTTCGCCTCAAGGTCCCATTCCTGCAACGTGATGCCGAAGAACGCATCATCAAATTCCATCACCGTCAGTCCTTCCATCACGCTGTCCGGGCTGCTCAAGTCATCTGTGCTACTGGCCGTCTGGTCATCTGGGTCGAGGACGGCTTGGCCGCCATTCTCTTCCTCACGCTGGCACCCGAGCATATCAGGAAGTTCATCCCATGGTAAAGCGTTCGCCATGACCGAGATGGAGGTAGTGGGAGTCGCTGGCATAAGCTGGGGAACCTTGAGGCTGGGGCCGTTGGATATCCTCTTGCTCGAGGTCCAGTGTATTTGCAGCAAAGCAACAATCTCGGATTTTTGGGGAACCCTGGCTTCGCTGACGGCCATATCGAGGGTAAGGGCCAGCCGCATGTAGAGGGACGGGTGGTGAAAACAGATGTCGATCCAACTCGTTGCGCTGGAGCCCTCTTTTGAGGCATCATCGGGCCGTGCAAGGTTGGCAGCTTGGCGAACTGCACCACTAATCCAGTCGATACCATCGTAGAATGTTCGGTATGTCCGCATAGCATCGATGAGAACCTTGAGGCGCTCTTGCTTGGCCATTATGTCGGCCGTGGTGCTGTGCCGTGGCCTCAGCATAAAGTCAAGTGTATGCAGGAGAAGAGGCGTCATGAAAAAAGCGATGCTGCCATCAAGGTCAGAATGAAGCGAATTGAAGGGGACAACACCAAGCACATACGCGCTAAGAGGCAGGTAACGAATCAAATCAACCTGGAGCAATTCTTGAAGGCAAGATGTCATTCCCAAGGCTGCCGCCCTAACTTCTTGGCCCTGAGAAGACTTGGGAGATACAGTTGTGGTGCTTGGAAGTATATCGTCTTGCGGTTCGAGAAGCATTTCACGATGCGAAAGAGCTATTCGGCAGGCGCTAAAACCAATGAGCATCTCCTTGCGGAACGGTATGACGCCCATATCTGGGACGGTTACTTACAAGTAGAAGATGTGCAACAAGTTGGTGTGCACGATAACAGAGCGTTGACGAAGCCCTGATGGCTTCCTCCCAGGAGAATGCTGAGCCTGCTTTTTATACCAATCTTTCAGTGCCGTCCGGCATTTAGTTAATCTCTGATGGGACTCCTGCACCCGATAGCTGCTCCCATTGGTGTCTGTTACCGGCGGTAAGAGATCTTTCAGGATGTTACACAAGCACATCAGGTGGACATAGATATCCAGAAGGCGCCGTCTCGACTCGCCAGTATGAACCTCGGAGTGTGTCAACTCGCTTTCGAAGTCAGAAGGTTCGAGGATAGGAAATTCTGTCGGGATTTGCATGCTTCTCCTCATGCCGATCGACAAGAATCGGTCACGAACGATGCAGCACCACCAAAGGCGTTTCAGCATCTGTATGTCGTGAAGGTTACGCTGAGAGCTGAACTCTGAGCTATCGACAGCCGCCTCAATGTCCCAGGCAAGGTGAGCTTTTGCGCATCGAGCCTGATGTATGGCAAAAGATAGCCAGGCCGTGTTGGTCCTGTTGCGCTGAACACTGGGTGGTGGACACCACATGGTTAACAGGAGAGCAGCACGTGCGGACACCGCTGGTGGTGCTTCGGGTCCTGCGTCAAAAAGTGCCTGACAATTAGTCTCGTAATTGGGTGTAAAAGCTTTGCACGACAGATCCGTACCTTTGCCCTGTTGTAGAATGCCGCTCGTGCTGATTGGATGCTGAGGAAACCGAGCGCTTTGACTACTGTTAATGGCACAAACTATGAGGGCCAGGAGGTCAGTAAAAAATGGTTCGATATTCCAGAGGATTCCAAGAAATACGCACATTACTCGCAGTGAACAGCATTGCTTGGAAAACAAGAAGGGGGACCTTTGTAGTGGCCTCGTCCGGTGTTTCGATCCGATAGGCCGCCCAAAACTCAGCTTCGTCGAGCAGAGGCAGAAAAGGGTGTACATGCAGAAAGTATTCGCGCATGAACTCGTCCAGGATGGGTTTGTTCGGGATATGAAAGCAGCCCTTGGTCTGGAGGAAGACGATGTCTGGTTGAGACAGACCAGCCAGTCCATCAGTCTCGAGGAAGGGACATGACGGAGAAGGTCCCCAGGGCCCAATCACCTCGCGCGCAGAGTTGGATTCGTAGTGCTCATGATTTGATTCCGTAGGAGCTAGATTGAGTAGTAAGTCCAGTGCAGTATCTGGTGTTGGCCAAACAGTCAGCAAGGCAGCGTCTTAGGGCGTTCAATCATGCGCATACCGGTTGCAAGATCATCCTTGGAGACGAGCTCGATCGGGACGACGGTCATCGTCTCTGCCGCAGAGGTATGTAAAAGTGAATTTTCGAGTAACGGTTCTGGCTCCCGAGATGTAGGCACGCTTTCCAAGTCGGTGCCCATGTCCACCGGTATATCCAGCTCGTTCAAGGCCGGCAGCATTGGGAATCCTTGAGCTGGGCTCACAGCATTTGTCGCTGCGTCGATGTCGACGACATCCTCTGATCTACTGCTCTTCCCGGTGGCAAAGACCGCTTCGTAGTCGGGATTTGCTATCGAAGGAAGTCGACTGCGTGATCCCCATGAGTTCTCATTCATAATGACACTAAGCACTGTGGAACATACCGTCGAGACGCCCGATCAGCAACTATGCAAGGCTTCCCATCGAGGTGACAATTGGTACAAGGTGGTCCAAGAAGGCTGACATTGCATCGGACCTTGCGGTGGCGGCAACAGAGACACGCTTTAACAGATCGCCGGCGATAACTTCTGCCAAGACGAAAGTTTTGGCCGTCCAACAAATGCGTATGAGGATCCAGACTGCCTGGGTCGGCGGTCGAAGGCAAGCCAACGGTTTGGGATGTATGTTCTTGCTGCATATTGACGGAGAATAGGATTGGGCAAAGGATTACCTCGAAAGTCTGGAGACAGCGACTAGGTCATGGTTGACTGTCATAAGAGGTGGGGAGCGCAATTGTCGCCGGTGTCAGTCATTGGCGTATTGAAAAGGGAGAAGATTCGTGAAGTAAGGTACCACTCGCACAATGCCATGTACGCGTAGTGAATGCGGGGGAGCGCGGAGCGCGGAGATTTCTGGGTAGTGTAGCTAGGTCTGAATGGTGTTGGCTCGCTTGGCCGGATCCTGGACGATGCATGACCTGGAATCAATTCCGCTCCTGACACGCAGCACCCTGATCTACCTAGGAAGAGATGATGGCGGTTATGCTAACGGTCTTGGGAGCACTACTGACCGAAGACGTACGACCAAGTGGGCAGCGCAAGACTACTGTGCGTACCTCGTAACCTGGCAACCCATTAAAACCTCGGCAATAGCGAGCACGATCTACACAGTTCCCCCGCATTTTCTACATCCAGATCCTAGTCAGCCCCTCTCTACACCAACCTTGCCTTCACGCCGTCAACCTCCTGTTGTGCCCTCTGCCGGAGGGCTCGACGCAGGATCTTCCCTGTCTGCTCAAAGGTTAGCGATCGATCAAAATGCTAAGAAATGCACGGTTCCCCGCCTCGGGTCGACGTACCGGGAGTCGCGGGATGCTGTCCACAAAAGCTAGCCCACCTCGGAGCTGCTTGTACTTGGCGACTCGCTTGTTCACCCAGTCGAAGAGGTCTACCTCCGTCACTTCCGGGGCTCTGACTACGTAGGCGCGAGGCACCTCCTCGCCGCGGACAACGACCCCGACGACTGCCGCGTCCGTGACACCTTTATGGTCGAGCAGAACCCCTTCGATCTCTGTCGGCGACACTTGAAAACCGCGCACCTTGATCAGGTCCTTGATGCGGTCCACGATGTGAATCTTGGCCCCCGCCGCGTACTTGTCCACGTAGACGACGTCTCCTGTCTTCAGCCACGTGATGCCGTGTTCCTCGTGCAGAGTATTTGCTGTCGCCGTCGGGTTCTTCCAATAGCCCTTCATCAGCGTCGGCCCCGAGAACCAAAGCTCTCCGCTCTTGTTAGCCTCCGTGACCTCTGTCCCGTCTTCTTGCACGAGCCTGAATTGGGCGTTGGGTACGATTTCGCCGACGGATAACGTACGCTGCTGGTCGTCGGGGCCCTTCATCGATCCAGTGCAGGTGACTTCCGTCATGCCCCAGGCCTGGCTGACGAAGTTTTGGCCGTCTGGCCATATCCTCTTCTCGACCTCGGCCGAGATTTCCGGTGCCAGTGGTGCAGTGCCCGATACCACGTCACGTATACTAGACAGATCGAACTTGGCCGCCAGCGGGCTTTTGGCGAGGGACAGCAGAATGGGGGGCGCGGTCATGATTGAGGTGATCTTGAACGTCTGGATATGGCTGAGGAGCTTCTCAAAATTGTAGGCCGGCATGATGTATGTCGGGATGAGCATGCGCGGGTTGTTCACGATGAACGACGTTTGGCCTGCAGCGTGGTACAGGGGCATGAAGCAGATGCTTGCATCAGGAGTCTCCCCGGCTTTCCCGTCGTTGATCTGCCGCCGGAGGAAGGTTGTCCCCTCACCGTTCGCGACATACGCAAAGTGTGTGATCTCAACGCCCTTGGGGTTTCCCGTGGTCCCCGAACTGTAATTCAGACAGCATGTCGTGGCTCGAGGGTCCTGCGGCTCCACCCAGTCAAAACGCGCCGCCTCGGCCGCAGAGGCAAGCATGTTTGTCCACGACGGCATGGGTCTGGTGGTTTCTCGCAGGTTTGGATCGCTACCGTCAATGGAGAAGAGGCGGCTGGACGGGATTCCTGCTTGCAGACACGCTTCGCGCGTTGTTGCGAGGGCGGCGCTTTCCGCAAAGACGAAAGACGCGCCGCTATCCCGCAGCTGATAAGCAAGCTCTCCGGCCCGCAGGGCTATGCTCGCGCCTGTGAATATCCCACCAGCCATGAGAACGCCCATGAACAGAGGCGGGAAGAAGAGGCTGTTGCTGCTGCATATCAGGACACGGTCTCCTTGGCTCAGACCTGCTCGTTGCAGGCCAAGAGCCACTCTTTTGGACAATAGTCGAAAGTCAGACAAGGTCAGAAACCTCGTTGCGGGTGAATCGGCATCGAAGAAGATCTTCTGATCGATGAGCTCCCCAAACGATGAACCGAACACCCATTTGTGCAAAGCCACTTCTGGCGTCGGGGTAGTCCAGCGAGATTCGATAGGCATCTTGGCGTGAGCGGACTTTTCGATATTCGAACAATCAGTTAAATTGGGGGGAAACAGTAGGAGCAATGGCAGACTTCATTCCATCGAACCCCTCCGCGGTTTTATGTTAAAGCTATCCTGAAGATCCAAAGCTCAACGCCGTGGCAGGTACCTCGGTAGTAGGTGGGGGCTCTGTTCGGTAGTCAGGCTGGTACGTGTACTTTGACACATTTTTAACTCTGGATTTGCGGGTTTATTCATCTACATGTAACTCGGATGTTCATTCCGATTGCAGAACGGCAGATAGGCCGGTGTGTTGCATATTGCATCAAAGTTTCCATGGGCCATTAAGGTTCTACACGTATATTACTAAGCTCCGGATGGTTATTCGGGGTGGGCATGAGGACAAACTCATCCAGTACGATTTGATGGTTTGGTGGATAAACTTCCATGGCACCTATGGCAGGGCCCAAGAACCCTCCGCAACGATGTTACAGGCAGCAGACTCCACCACCACTATGTGACCCTACCAAAGCCTCTTTCGTCGCAATGACCGGGGCGTTTCATATGGGGTGGCGGCACTCATCACTTGCTATTGATAGTCTGTCCAAGCGGGTAGAAGTCTGCATCATCTTATAATTCCTCCGAGGTCCATTCACACGATCGAGCAATGACGCTATAGTTGCCAAGACAACCTCTGACAGTCGCTTCAGCTCCAGCCCTTACTCGCCCATTAAGCAGGATGCGGGGATGGTACGAAAGAATGCCAACACGCTCTGCACGCCACCAAGTCTGACTTGCACCATAATCCAAATCATGTCAATGGCTCCTGACCAGCTTGAAGACCCGCGGCTAATGTGGGTCAACACTAAGGTAATGTACCCCGCGATGTGCGGCAGCTCTATCTTCGGGTGATGTGGGGCGACCCCGTCCTGAACCACGTTCATGGCGGCAGAAACAATCTGGGGTAAGGTGGATTCATGGGCACCTATTTGGCAGGCTTTGTCGTATGGCACAGTATATAGATCGTGCAACTCGAGCATAAGGGCAATATCGTCTTCAACTTGAAATTTGTTGATCTGTTCTGGTCTCGATCTGTCCGTCATGCTCTGGACCTCCACGTTGAGTGGCCAGACGGCCCATCTAACGGCCTGTACTGTTGGTGCCTTATTTCATATATTGCTTTTCAGACGTGGCGAATGGGACAACTACGCGTCAAAGATTGTCCTGGCGTTTGCCACTACATTTTCAGTGTTCGTCGCTGTTGTGCTATATGGAGCGCCAGTGGCATCACAAGATGAGCTGTGGCAAGCCATCAAAGACGTATCCTCCCTCTATGGCGCACTCATCGCTGGCCTCTACGTGAGCATGGTGCTCTACCGCACTCTGTTACACCCTTTGAGACGTTTCCCTGGTCCGTTTGCTGCCAAGATTTCTGGCGTTTACGCTACACGGCTTGCGAGGAAGAATGAACAGTTCTTCATCGAGGCAAAGAAACTGCACGAGACGTATGGAGACTTTGTCCGCCTCGGTAAGAGCTCCTGAAAGACAGTTGGTAGGCCCAACCTGATCATCTTCTGTTTTCTCTAGGCCCCTCGGAAATATCCATCGCACATCCGAAAGCTGTGCAAGCCCTACACGCCAACTCATCGCCGTGTTCCAAGGGCCCATGGTACAACACTCAGCTTCCAGCCAGGTCGGTCCATACAACCCGAGACCGCGAAGACCATGGGCGAAGGCGCAAGGTCTGGGATCAGGGCTTCTCATCAAAATGTTAGTGCCGGCCCAGTCCGAGGTTGAAGAAGCTCGCACTAAAACCTGGATAGCTCTTCGGGATTACGAACCCCGCGTCAGGACCTACACAAACCAACTCCTATCTCAGATTGATGCCAAGAAATACGGCGCAATCAACGTCTCCAAGGAATTCAATCTGTACAGCTTTGACGTCATGGGCAACTTGGCTTTTGGCAAGAACTTTGGCCTCATCATGTCGCAGAAGATGCATCCTGCCATGGAGTTATTGCAGGCCACAACAGCACTTAGTGGGATGTTGATGCACATGTCATGGGTCGTCCTGTTCGGCAGGAACATTCCGCTTTTGACAAGACATTTGAAGTCATTTGAACGCTGGCTCGACGAACAGACAAGGGAGCGAATGGAGGTGAGCCTTGCCACAGACTTTGTCTTTCTACGGCCCCTTTACCGGGCTAACAAGTAGTACAGAATGAGCCCGATATCCCAGACGTGTTTTCCTGGGTTCTGGGAGACTATCGATCCAAAGTGCAACCGACGAAACAGGACTATATCGATCTATGCGGCGACTCGATGCTCATTGTCGTTGCGGGAAGGTAACAATTTGACCCGCAGAGGAAGTGATAAGACATTGCTGACCAGTCCCAGCGACACAACTGCCACATCTCTCACTTGCCTGTTTTTGCAGTTGACACAGAACCCAGCGAAGTGTCGAAAGCTGCA